ACCTCGAAGTGCGGATCGGGGATGCAGGCCGCAGCCTCACAATTGAGGGCAAGGTTATATCACTACGCCAGAAAATGGCAGCGACTCGCCGCCGTCCAAGGACACGAAGCAAGGTAAGCAGCACGTATCCTTCTGATGCTACCGCGTTTCTGAAATACCCTCAGATGATGTGACAACAGAAGTTAGCACTGAAGTCCGCGAAACGTCGACGGCCGTCTCTACTTTCACGCGGACGGTGTTCCTCGAGCAACCCGTCGACGGAAGCAATGTGAGCGCCAAGCTCCAAGATGGAATCCTGAAGATCCAGTTGAAGAGGGCACACGATCAGGATAGCGTCCTGGTCAAGGTCGATTGAATGTCGAGAATGGTCTGTAGTACCAGGGCACTGTCCTCTCATGTATCTCTCTGTTCCCACTAGTCCCGTTGTGCACCCACTTTACACTACCATATTCCGCGTCTATCTACAGTATCTTATTCCCTGAACAGTGAAAATTTGAGAGCCGCACGAATTTCATCATGCAGTCACTCATCGTCAAACGCGTCTGAAGAGAAAGGACTGCGATCACGCGGAATACGAAACGCGCTTGCACGTGACGGATCACAAAAGTCACTTGTACTACTACTTTGCAGTGACAAGACCCTCAGCATGGCCGGGATGAACAACCTTCTCGCATTTTCCACCTGTCATAGGCTCATCAACAAGAGATCTCTCTGGTCGTCTCTGAACCAATCCACCATCCGCACTGCAACTTACGCCACGAAGCCCAAACCACCGCTGCTGGGTCGGTACACGACCATTCCGTATGAGCTTTTCAGGATAAACGCGAGTCAGAAGGTTATTCTCAGGGACTATGTGGACCAGCAGAAGAAAGGGAGGAGCTCTTATGATCTGGTGGTTCATGAGGATGGATTGGTGCACCCCGGCCGGGAGACACATTCGACGGTGCACTCGCTGTTAGTCTTCTGTAGGAACGATGGGACTAAAGCGTGCTGTAGGTCCAAATGGCGCGTCTATGCGGCCGGATGGGGCTATGCTGCAAGAGGTGGTGAGGAACTTTCGAGGGAAGAACACGACGATATACCGAATCCTTCCTGGTACGTGCAGCAAAAGTCTCTTCCATTATGCTGCCCATCAAACCCCCTTGACAGGCAAAGAGCTTCCCGAGGATCTGATACTCCTCCATGAGCACTCCGACCACCATTCTATCCAGTGCCGGGTACCGATGACGCTTGCCCAACTCAACAAAAAGGTTACGCAGTTTTGCATCGAAAACTCGGAGAAGATGACAAAGGAGGAATTCGTGGAACGGTATCCATTTACAGTATAGTAGCCAGTGTCCTCCCTGTAGACCCAGTCGAGTTATCGGGAGCCGTGACCGACTGTCCGCTCAATCAGAAATGATTCCCAAACCGTGACCGACTACCTTCTCCGACGCGTCAACTTCTGAGACTGGAGCCAGCTTGTACAGCCGTAGACCTCTCTCGTGCACCAGGCCAACCTACCACAAACTTTCAGTGCCGATTCTGACTGCTCTATCACTTACATGGAATCTGTGTCTGTCTCACTCAATGGAACACCAGACTACGACCATGAGCCCGAATACGATTTGGACCAATCTGTAGAAGAGGACGTGGACCAACTGGCATCCGAAATGGAGGAAGATGCTGTTGAAAGAACCCCAGGGGAGAGTCTGCTCCCATCCCTGAGACTCGCAAGTATAATAGAGGTGGGCATGCTGCCGCACACTACGTCCTGTCTGAGCTATGCATCCAGTCGGAAGGGAAACTGGCGCTCTCGAAAGAAGGCCTCTTCATCCTCTCCATCGCCACTGTCTGTTCCCCTTTCACGATGCATGTTCATGACTGTGATCCTCTTCCGCAGGAAGAATTTGTGAAGAGACTCGCTCAAGGCGGGCATCGGCAGGCCAAGGCCGAAAGCCGCACTTGTGTCGTCTATCGGGACATGGGTATGCGTCTTTGCTCTCCGCAATATTTCATTTCACGCGCTTGCAGCTGCAACGACTCAACAGTATCAAGAGTTCATGTTCCTTCGAGGTCCGCCAGTCATCTGCTTCCATCGGCGCCCGTCTCATATCGAATACAAGAAACCATCCCCCAGCCTGTGTCCCTGTCTGATGCACTTGAACTGAGAGAATTGCGGGCCAAAGAGATCCTGGAGAACGAGCCTGCTCTGATTGCCCCCATCGACCTGCCATCTACGGCCATCTCCACCGTCAAATCGAGGCCGAAGACTCGTGTTGTCAACGGAACGGCGGAAAAGTCGACTCGGAACGCGAGTGTCAATCGACCAGCCGAAGTTCGTCAAACAAATACAAGGGCGGGTCAAGAAAACGCGACGCGCGTGTCAAGCGGACAATCAATAAACCCTGCGACGAGCAGTGTCCAGGTTCTCAGCTTTGTCGCCCAGCCAGCTTCGACGGGAGAAGATGTACGTAGTGTCCTCAACTCGTCCTGGTCCATGCAACTGATAATATACAGGCCGAGAAATCTATTTCATTGTCGAGCGTTGGCGGGGAGCCGCAATATACTCGATCTCCTCCCGCGTCGGCCCTTGCGACTGTGGCTGGAAAGACACCTCCTGTTTCCAACGGCCCTACCATTCGGATCCCTGGATTCACGAGCGTTCCACCACGGAGCAAATCACCGGACCACCCCAAGCCTTCGTAGCAGTCAGATGCAGATAGTTTGAGATCACCTCTCTGCATGTTTTTGTAGCTTGGTCATATGTCGTCGTATTCCTCTTTCTTCCTCCCGCACTTGATGTCCATATGATCTCCATTATCTGACTTGATTATGCAATCAGTCCTCCGATAATCGTTATCGCACCTGGTTTATCTCGAGCCATAATGTCGGCCAGTCTCCCAGTCATCAATATCGCTCCATACCTGGACTTGGAGAAGTACGATCTCGCGGCAAGGCAGGAGACCTCTCGGGCCTTACATTCTGCCTGCATCGAATTCGGCTTCTTCTACTTGGACATCTCAGATTACGTCGATCCTAGCGTCCCCGAGGAGCTCATAACTCTCGCAAGACAATTCTTCGCGCTGCCGCAGGAAGAGAAGGATGCGTTCTCGCTGAACAATCAAGACGGAGCGCGAGGTGCGTCCCAACTCGGCCTTCGTCTGACCATTTGCACTCAGCAGACTCACAGGGTATCAACGACTGAAAGAGAATGTCACGAATGGCAAAGTCTGTCTTATCACTTCAATGCCGGTGCGAAATTCCAACGTTCATCCGAGGCAGATAACCATGAAGGCTTTGACTGGTACAAGCCTGTAGAGAACCCAGATAAGGACAAACCGCTGTGGGGTGAGAATCAGTGGCCCACCGTCCCGAGGGAATTCAAGGAGAAGTACGAGGCATGGATCGACAAGATGACCGCACTCGGGCTGATAGTGCGTTCTCGTGCAAATCCGCTTGCAGCGGCAACTGATGCTTAAAACGCAACCAGGTCATGGAAGCGTGGGATGCTAGATCTCCGTGGCTGGGGCACCACACTCAAACTTGAATAGAATGTCGGTTGGACTGGGGATGACTCCAGATGAATGGCAGGAGCTCCGGAAACAGGTGGACGACAGCTTCTGGGTTATGCGCGCAATCGGTCAGATACACTTCAGACCATGCATTCTTCTTGCTGACACACGGAGCAAGGCTACCCCCCTTTGCCCAGCGACGAAGATGGATTCTCATGTGGTGCACACAAGTAAGCTATGCCTCGCAGTGACCGCAGTGCATCGCCTCACATGTGCACCGCTAGAGACTACGGGTGTCTTACGTGCGCTTCCAGTAATGACCGGATTTCTGGGCACTGACTTTCCATGAGGCTCCTGTATGCCGATCCGACCCCTTCAGCTCTTCAAGTGTATCGTAGGAATGGATCCGCGAGGGGAGTCTGGATCAATGCAGATCCGCTTCCTGGTACGAGCTGCTTTTAAACCACCTCGCCGGGTATTTAACTCCCCTCAACAGGCTGCATTGTGTGCAATATTGGGGAAAGTATGTGTTCGTGGTGAACTGTCGCTCTTTGACTCTGACCTGCCATGCAGTGTGGGAAATATGGACGAACGGTCTCTACAAGTCAACGCTGCACCAGGTGGTCCATCGTTCATCCAACTATCGGTAAGCTATTATCCCATCGCGTGATCATAAATATCTTGATGGTCCCAGAATCTCGTAAGTTTTGCCACCATACAAGCAAGGCAGGAATCGCATCTAATCTGAGTAGTATTCCATTCTTCTTCGAACCTAATTTCGACGCATTCGTGAAGCCACTGGAAGCCGTCAAACGAATCCAAGGGAACTCGGGTGAAGGCAAAGTCGAACGCTCACCCGTTATCTATGGTGGGTCATTCATCTCTACCATTGGCTCATAGGGGAGTCATAGCACTCATCGATACGGCTGCCAGGCGATTTTTTGAAATCAAAGGTTGCCAACAACTTCACCGGCGGAAAAGGAAAGTATGATTGAGAATCTACCTGAGGCTTATTGGTCCAGTGTCCGTAACATCATACTGTGAATTATCTAGACGAGACGCTTATCGATTATCAATCAGTAGAAAATGATAATTAGGTAAGAATTATCTGTACTTACTGGATCATCGTAAATGAGTTTGACTCGTTTGCTTTCTTCCTTCAAGTGGAGAGATCATCTGACATCTTCACGATTTCTTTTCCGTCCCCGTCCCCGAATCATGGATTTCCAAACTAGCGTCTCCAAGTTGAAGTCTCCTCTGAAGGATCTTGTGCTGGCCTTCTCCAAAAACGGAACGGTTCATGTCGGAAAGCAGGAGGCAGATTCGCGCGCCGTGATCGACTGGATCGCGCAGATTGAGAAGGGCACATCGGTCAACGAGCCTGGGCTCAAGGTGCATTTCCTCTGCTGACTGTTACAGACGCGTATCTGAAGGAGATCGTAAACAGGCTTTGAACGCTGAGCTAGTGCCCAAGACTTACCTCGTGAACAACTATCTGACCGCTGCCGACGTTGCTCTCTTCGGCGCCCTTCACCCTGTTATTGTGCGTATCGCATTCTCTAACCTTGTCCTCATCCCTAATCCTCCCGGCCTCAGTCAACATCACAACCGGACCAATACTTCGCTCATCCCAGTGTGACGCGCTATTTCGACCACATCCAGTCGCTGACCGTCGTACGCGAGGCTGCAGACGCGTTTTCTCCTGCGTTTGCTGCGGTCGCATTCGATTTCACTAAGGCTCCTGTCGTTGAAAGGACAGCCGAGGCACCCAAGAAGAAGGAGAAGAAGGCACCCGCGGCGGCTCAGGAACCTGCAGCCAGCACATCCGCAGCACCGCCTGCGGTCTCTGGTGCGTCAGGAGCGGAGACTGCCGCCCCTGCGAAGGAGAAGAAAGAGAAGAAAGAGAAAGAGAAGAAGAAAGATGCTGGTCCTGACGCTGGAGGCAAGAAGAAGGGCGCTGCTCCATCAAAGGCCGTTGCTGCAGAAGAGGCTGGTGAACCTGTTCCCTCGATGATCGACCTCCGTGTTGGTCACATCGTCGACAGTGAGTGTCCGCATAGTTGTTCATCGTATGCTGATAAGTGCAGTCATGAAACACCCGGATGCTGACGGTCTTTACGTCGAGGTACTATGCTGCTGAGTTCTTTGAACGTTATAAGCTGAAAAATTCCAGCAAATTGATATCGGCGAAGAGACTGGCCCACGGACAGTAGTCTCTGGCCTCGTGAACTATATCCCCATCGAACAGATGCGGGACAAATATCTCGTTGCTGTCGTGGGTTCCCCATCCTTATGTGTTCTTTCCCTTCTTAATTCATTCCCCAGTGCAATCTCAAGCCGGCAAGCATGCGCGGAGTAAAAAGTTTTGCGATGGTGCTTTGTGTCAGTCCCAAATTTGCAACATATCTATTCCTGTGTCTGATCACGTTTGAAGGCGACCTCAAAGGACGGGAAAGAGGGCGGCATCGAATTAATCCAGCCCCCTGCTGGTGCGAAGCCAGGCGATCGAGTCTACTTTGAAGGGGCTGAATTTGAAGGTCAGGCGTCATCTGATGTTTCAAGCTAAGCCAAGTAGCTCATCCCGATATCAGCTGCCACTCCTCTCAGCCAGCTGAACCCAAAGAAGAAGATATTTGAGACAATCCAGCCCGGTCAGTGAAGTAGGGCATTGCAAGGATACATACTAACTCAATTGTCCAGGATTTATCACATTGGACTCTAAGGAGGCGGCTTGGATCAATCCCGCGACAAAAAGCGTCCACAAGATTCGAACGAAGGATGGCGTCTGTGTGGCGCCCACTCTGATCGGTGCCTCCTTGTCGTAGACCAGTATATTGTGAATATGATAGACTCTTGCATACGCCAGCGACCCCGACACTCCACGTGTCCCGACTACTTCTTCTTCACACTTTTGATCGCCCTCGTCTCGTTGCCGATGAAGATACCCTACGACACAATGAACGTGAAACTCGACAATTGAAGCGATTACCTGAACGTACCTTGCCCTTGTATGGCTCTGGTTTTCGGTAGCTCTGCACTTTAGCGCAGAACTGACCGAGCTGATGCTTGTTCGTGCAGAATAAAGTAATCTTTGTTGGTGTTGGGACCTCAGCTTTGATATGCGGAGGAACGGGGATGTAGACGGAATGTGAATATCCGAGCTTCATGGCTATCCTCTTTCCATTCCCCCCGTCCGACGTTCCCCTTGGGTCCTCCTCCATTGCTGCACGATAACCCACACCAACAAGATAGAGAGGCATGAAGAACCCTTCCGTCATGCCAGTTATAGCGTTCGATATGTGTGTTCGAGTCGTTCCCCACATTCTTCGCTGTTGCTGTATCTCAGCGTCCTCAACGGTAACGAGCATCATTTTGGGGTCGGTGACATCGATCTTGACGAAGGGAAACAAAGGTAATGTGGTTTTCCCTAGGGGACCCTCGACCGAAATAGACGTAGGTGTGGTGGCGAGTGTAATGGATTCTGGGACGGGAATAGGTTTGGAGCCTATGTGGGAGACATGAACATGAGCGCGGGAAGCCACATTCAGGCGCAGAGTCGGTATAGAACGGCGCGCCACGCTACGACAAAAGTTCATGAGGTGCTGGTATAAAAGTCGGCAGTCACGAAGACGATCACGTGCGGCGTTCTGTCACAAAATGAATCCGCATCGAGGGCATGTTGCTGCATGACCGACGCGCCCATTCGTAAGCAGATGGCCAATGCCAAGATCGTTCGAACTCTCAAATGAGTTGAATCTGGATGAGGCTCATAAATGAGGTCACTGCCTCTGAGGGTACCAGACCCACCGAAGAAAGCCCGTGGTCGATCGTGTTCTAGACCATTTTGAAACCGACTGAGGTTCGAGCTAGTGGAGGCACTGCCACACGGAGGCAATCACGATCATTGCAGGTGACGTCACTCTGTGCGTTGTGCCTTGAGAGACCCTCTGCACTCCACCGTGTCTGCGCGCTATCTACACTAGTGTCTGATTCTTCTCTGTGATGGAATTGACCTCGTTTCTGCTGGCGTCATAAGTCGGCAGTGACCTCAACGTGGAGTGCGCAGGGATGCCACTATAAAAGAGGAATGAGATATCGCCAAGGGTCTACATCATTACGAGCTTTGCACACGAGTCCTCCTCACGAACTCCTCACGAATTCATCCTAAATCCCTCCTCAAGAGACCATGGCCGGATACCACCCCCTCCTGTTCACTCTCATCGCTCTCGTCGCCATGGCTGAGCTGGGCCTGTCCGCCTACTGGGTTCATATCGTCCAGCATCAAGTCTCTAGCCGGTTCAAGTCTCTGTAAGTGAGAAGAATCTGCGGGCCGAATTCGTCTCATCCCATTGGTAGTGTGATCCTCCTCTTGTTTAACAGCTGCTGGACGACTCTCTTTGCCGGCGCATATGTTTTCTTCATTCTCGACGGTAAGCACTGATGTGGCTTATTTTCTCGCGTATATTCAGTGCTTCCTCAGGTGCGCTGCATGAGCTCGCATCCATCGGCTCGTCGTCAATCTGGCTTGCCATCACCGCCATCCTTTGGGGTGTCGCAGCCGGCCTATTCCACCCTGTTCGCGGGGGAGGCAGCTGCAACGGTGAAGCCGTCTTGTCGTTGTATGTCGCCTCTTTTGGCAGCATGGGCACGTATTCAATTGTCATTTCTACAGTTGTCGTCAAACGCTTGCCCTGGAGGCCATTGCCTGGACCGAGATGGGCCTCTGCATCTTGACGATTCTTGCTGCCTGCTTCTGGGCTCGCTCGTCCCGTCGCAGCTACGTCAGTGTTGCATCTTGCCTCAATCCATTACTCTTCACTAAATCGTCCTCAGCGCGGAAGTTATTACGTCTGAACAAGACGATCTCATTTACCCGGTGCTTATCTGCTTTGCACTACTCACGTATTCACGATCTATCACCTCCGAACTTAGTATCTCGCAGCATTATACCTCACTTGTAATAACTGAAGCTGCAGAATAATGATTTGTTTATTGGTTTTATTCATTGAGAAGCTCGGCTGAGAACAAAAGATAATGGTGACTGTGACGGGCGCGATCATTGTCACGCTCCGCCGTTCAAGCTGTCACACGGACCGCCATTGTTCTTTTGCTTCCTTTGTCCCGTTTTCAGTACAATGGACCTCCCTCCCGCAGTAGATGACGGGATGGCTATAAAAGAGAGGCCCATTGTTTTGTACCAATCACCTTCTCTTTCTTTACTTCAACGAAGTCCCGAGCCTGCGGCTCCATTCACGTTCTCTTACGACTCTTACTGCCTTTCCGCGCTCTGCTGTATCGAATAGCCTCTCACAAGCATCCAATCCATCTGTATTCATCATGCTCCCTCCTCGCGCATGTGAATGTTCCGATCTCTGTGCTACAACGTACGACTGACCGAGCTACCAGACACTTTCATCGGCTTGAACGGTCTTCGCGTTCTAAGCATCGTTGGGCTCATCCTCGTCTTTGCGAGGTGCGCGTGTTCGTTCTGCGCGCATATCATCTCTCAATTTTCTGCAGCAACGTCGTCACGCTATCTCACGACATTCAAGCCGTCAACCACTTCCAAAGTGGCAAAGCCTCGCCAAGCTCTGCAGCGAATGCCACTATCGTCGGCACAACTTCGACCGATTACATCCCGTGAGCAGCCTAGCCAATCTGTGTAAGATCCATGAGGCCGATACCCCACAGTAACAGCACGGTCGCTGATCAACCTCTCGGCGTCTTCTGGGCTGTTCTCAACCGCCTGTTGCTTATCTTCCAAGTCGTCATCCTTCTTTTGTCCGAGATTGGCTGGCCTGCGGTCTTCTTCAACCGCTTTTTCCCCATCCTCGGGGAAGATTTCGGCCTAGGCGCACTCGGAATCATTCAATGCCTAGTGGGATCAGCGATCCTCTCTCATCATGTGGACGACTTCAGTCTCGTGGCGGCGTTTTTCCTCTTCGCGATCGGTTGCCTGAACATGCTCGTCGGCCTGATTTTCCGCCAGTCTGCCAAGTCTAAGCGTTCCATTACGTCCTGGCGCGAACATGCCAAGAATGCGCTGCCTACGCACGTCGCGGGCGTTGACATCCGCCCCGTCGCGGCTGCTGCTCCGCATGTCGTGAACATGTTCACCGGCAGCAGCGAGAAGTCTGCCAAACAGGACGCCCAGTCCGGTCAGGGCTTTGGAATCAAGGGAGAGCGGGCTGCTGGTCTCAAAGGTGCGCTCCTTCCTGTTCTTGATATCCGCACGCTCATATCCAGCGCTAGGATTCCTCATCTCACGGCCGTTAGAATCTCTGCCCCGTTACGCATCGACTCGTCCTGGTGCCTCGACCTGATCATATGTAATAGTGTCTTGCAAATTTTGATAATCCAGCCAAAACTGTTGTTTCTTGTCGGCGATCGTCGGAGTCCCATATTTCGCAGATCGGAGATAGTCGGCGACATAGTACAAACTCCAGGTGAAGAACCATCCAATTTCAATTCTACATCATCAACAGTGCGACAGTCGAGACAGCGCTCAAACCAATGACCGCGTAGCCAGTTTGATATACACCCTTGACGGTCATGACTAGACAACTGTGAGCAGGAGAAAGGGGGGTGAAAGCTCGTGACGCACACTTCCCAGCGTCCCAGAGCAAGTGACGGACGCCGTTCAAGCTGTGGAAAGCGAATGGAGCGGCAAGGATGGCCTTCGCGCTATATTTGACGGCATCCGGCAATCCAGTAACGAATTCGATGAGATGAGCGCTGTCAAATGTGCCAGGAGCGACGAGATAGGCGAGAGAGAATCCGTAAAGCACTGCGACAGGACGTTCACGTTGGCGAAGAGCGGGAATATGGTTTACGCACGAGTGCTGATGCCGGCTCCGGTGACACGGTTGACGATAGAGGGAATCCATGTCAACTGGGGCTGGTAGATGGTGAAGTGGGGGCTGGAGGGTCGCAGCAGGCGTTGCTTATTGAGGATATCGGTCGCAGCCGAGGGAGGAAGAGATTCTGTTTGCACGGCCCTGCATTGAGGTGCATGAGACTCGACGTTTGATTGTGGACCGGACATGGCTCTACGAACCGTTTCGCGATAGTCGACCGAATCAAGGTCTGGTTACGAGCTGTCCATATTGTGAGAATAGGGGTCAAGAGGTCGAGATGGTACCTTACCGAAACTTGAGGAGAGGGCGCTTTTGCGCAGCGACGAGCCCAGTCCCAAAGCGCGAGTGGACATCATAGTTGTGAGGAGGAATACGGGGATCCGGCGGACGCTCGGATCATTTTGGAATCACATGCTCTCACGTGAGCGCTCAGGGTACTGGCTGCTCTAAAAGTTTCACTTAGCTTTCCGTCGCAACGCAGCGAGTGATCTGAGAGGCTCAAAACACTGGATCTGATGACAAGTATTCCATATTACTTGAAAGATATCTTTGGCGAGTGGCGGCGTCGGTCATTCAATCCACCGGCGCATGATAGGTGTCTACGCGCAAATTCGGATTGAAATTCCCTCCTTTCGGGGTCAATAGTTCCCGTCCGGAGAGCTATCCGTTGCAACTGAGCCTATGCCCGGGATCTTGGGTCGCACGGGCATCTTCTGTTGTCTGGGAACGAATTCCCGTACTCTCGAAACACGTGCTCCGATTTCATATCCGGACAGCCGCGCAAGATTTCTGAGCCCAGGGTGCGATAAGAGTCTATGTCGTATTGAGGTCAGGTATCCAAAAACGGTATACAGAAATGCAGTGGTATGTAATGCGATGAAAATGAATATGCTATGCGTCGGACTTCGTTTTTTATTTCACTTCTTCATACTTGCAGAAAATCCTCCGTCTCATACAGAGGCAGATATGCGTTGACATGGATGAGTGCCAGGCGCGCAATGTGTTCTGCGAGGGAGCCGATCTCCTCCTCCAGGGCCTCCATGCCCGAGGGCAGCGTTAGGTCGGCTGTTCTCCCAAAGGTCGCCAGATCGATGCTTGACAGACAACCGCTCGTGGCATCCCGGCCAGGATAGGCAAGAGACACCACTGCCGAAAAGACAGCATCCCGCAACCGGATCCGGAGCATATCGCCGAGGGTCGAACCGTGGCGGATGTTATGGCTCGCCCAGTCTTGCGCGAGACGCACGACTGCCCCGTCGACAGTTTCATTCTTGGCTCGCCTGACGATCTGCAGCACGACGCTCTCCTTGAGATTTTTCCATTTCAGGAGCTCGTCCGTGTCGACCTCAGACTCCGGCGGGCTCTCGCAGTAGAAGGCATAGCCGAGGCGGGACGAGCCTATGTCTCGAATCTCTTGTTTGATTCTCAGGACCTCAGCTGTCGGATGAGCGCGTGACCCCAGTTGCCGATGCAACAACAAGAACATGTACAGAGCGGACAGGTCGACAGCATCAGTGCTCAGCAACAGGATCCGAGACGTGTCCAGATAGACCGTCTCGGGATACTCCGCAGGTGCTTTAGATGCTGGAATCGGGGCGTGGGACGTCGGGAGTTGAGTCAGCGTTGCCGGAGACGGAGGTGTGAATGCCAGATCCGTCAGGCCCTTCAGCACGGCGAGATACACTTGCTGGTTTCGCTGCAGAGTTGGATAGCAGAGGTAATTAGGAGGGTAGAGAGGATGTGCGATCGGCGTCGAGCGGGTCATTAAAGTTTCATGCGCGGAAGTTAACCAGCGCCGGGTCTTTTGGAAACAGCACCGCTCGGAAGAAGGGCTGCTGCGTTGAGTAAAGGACCAAAACTCGAATTGGCCGGACGTTCGAAGCAAAAACGGTCGCAGAGTTTGAAGCTGGTGATTAGCAATATCCTACAATGACATGAGCCTTCTCGCAAAGGATCGCGGGAGACAAATAGGTACGTACCAACTTCATGAGCTCAAGTATATCCATGCACATCCTTACAGCCTTGACAGCGTCCGCCTTGGTACCGTTGCCACCGGGAGAGCAAGATTGCGCCAGCTGGACCATCATCTCAACCGCCTGATCTCGCATCGGCGCGCAGTGACCTTGTAATGTAAGACCGATTGCTCGAAATAAACTCGATGGATCGAACACGCCGTGGGCCAGCTCCTGCTCAATCAAAGCCGGGTCAAACACAGAGCGCAGATATTCGGTCTGCACACAATGTTCCTCCCGCCGGTCTTGGCTTGGGGGAGCCTGAACACAGCCCGACATCGGCTGTATGACGAGGAGGATAACCTGCAGAAACTCTTCCAACAGAATGCGTACTCGAGACGGCATCCGCAACGTCGCCACATTGAGTGTCGGAGAGAAGGCGATGATGGGATTGGAAGACGGGGTGGACACATGCGCACAAGCGCATACAGTAGGATGAGGCTTTCCATGCACGTCAAATGAGACACAAGTGCAGCCTGATTCCAGCTCGCACGTTACGGCAACCCAATACTTCTCAGCGCGCTCCGTCTTGCGCCGTGTGCTGGTCGGCCTGAACTGCAATCCAGGGTCAAAAAGCAGGTCGTGCCCTAGATCCATACAGCAATGTGTCAATTACAGCACGCGAAAAACATGCACACAACATACGCAGCTGAGGGTTCCGAATGATCACATCGAGGTCCAACTCCTTCAGGGTGTGCCTGTTGATAGGCGGCTGCAGAGGCGGAATGTGGGTAGAATTCGGATCAATAGGCACAGAAAACGTCGAGGGCGGAGAGACGGGTGACTTGTCGAACACCGCATCACGCAGACGGAGCAACGAGCCGGAGGCAGGGCCAGGGTCGGTGGTCGAGACGATACCGATGTCTTCGAGGTCCGTTCCCAGCCGGGGCGGGGGCGAACGAATGACACAGGTCCTCTTTGAGGAGTGGCGACGGGACATGGGAGACGCTCGGTGGGCGAGCTTTTGCAGACGGGCACGTTTTTGGGGATTTGGTCGAAAAGCCAGGGATGTCGGCCATGCGGGGGGCGTCGGGAACCAAGAGGCTACGGAGGCAGATGCGGTTTCTCCGGAAAGAGAATCTGCCACTTGGACGAGAAGGGGATCCTGGTCGACGTCGTCGTCAACGGCCTTGCGCTTGCGAGGGTTCAGGTGCGCGGCGACATCGTCCATGGGCTAGCGGGGAGGGGAGGGGAGGGCGTGTGTATCCGAGGCGGCTATATAAGTAAGGGGAAACACATGGCCCGGGCAGATTCTTTATGTAGCACGCGATGCCGTGAGGAACATGGACGTTCAGGGTATCCATTCGGGGTATCATATCAACAAACTCGAGATGATTGGGCTTGAATTCGAAATTATTAGCACACAGGGCCATCTGATAGCCCATAAAATTATGCTAAATTGGCGCTGGGACGGGTATACAATTTTTGTATAAAGTCTCCGGGAAGCATGCAATATGCATGCATGAAATGCGTTGTGGGCCGGGAGGAAACGGCTGGCCGGCTGCCTAGATGTCTGTCGCTGAACGTGTCCGGAAGACAGATGCAAATGGCGATCTTCATGCAGGACGGGCCACGGCCGACCGATACCAACCTGATGACATTTCAAACTCGGCTGCTGAAGTGATAGCTTCCCAAGACATGACTTGTCCGCACACTCCCATGTTGTTCTCCGCGGTAACCCACGAGGTCATCATTAACCTGCAGTGACACGCGACTAAAGAAAGACTGTTCATCAGAAATCATACAGATGTGGTCTATGCATCAATAAGCTTCTCGTCTGGCTTGGCTGCCTCTGCCTCCGGCTCAGTTGCTGCCTTCTTTGTCGGCTTGCGACCATAAAACTCGGCGATGATCTTCGGGTTGATCCGGTTCAATTCTTCCTTCGGGAAAATGCGAAGGAGCGACCAGGCCAAATCCAACGACTCGAAGATAGTGCGCGATTCATACGCCCCTATCGTATTTCAGTCAACATATCCAACTGATCGGCTTGGCTGCATACCTTGCCCCACAAATTGCCGCTCGAATTTGTCCAAAAACTCGAGAGCACGCTTGTCCTCAGCCGAGAGTGCTTCCTCACCGACAACGGCTTTCATCGCCGCAGCATCACGCCCGATGGCATACTTGGCATACTGGAGATGCGCACGGATTAGCACAGTTCCGTCCCAAATCAGAGTTTCGTACCAGCTGATTGGAGACATCACCGTGGTCTTTCCTCGTCAACTTCTCCCCAATAGCACTCTTCATCAACCGGGACAGTGACGGGAGAACATTGATGGGGGGATATATCTGTCGGTTGTACAGCTGACGATCGACAAAGATCTGGCCCTCAGTGATATAGCCAGTCAAATCCGGAATGGGGTGGGTGATGTCTACGGTGGAGAATCGGCAACCGTGCTTGCCGCAAACTAAGTAACGCACCATCGTTAGGCATGGTCAAGATGGGAATCTGCGTGATCGATCCGTTCCTTCCCTCAACTCGTCCAGCACGTTCGTAGATGGTCGACAAGTCGGTGTACATGTACCCGGGGTATCCTCGACGTCCAGGAACTTCTTCTCGCGCAGCCGAGACCTAGGCACAGATCAGCAATTGACACAATGCAGCCGCCATAGTCCGCACCTCTCGCAGTGCGTCGGCATATGAAGACATATCCGTCAGTATGACGAGGACGTGCTTCTCCAACTGGTAAGCGTAGTATTCGGCAGTAGTCAGCGCCAATCGCGGAGTGATAATACGCTCGATCGTCGGATCGTTGGCCAAGTTCAAGAAAAGAGTAACACGATCCAGACTGCCATTAGATTCGAAATCTTCTTTGAAAAAGCGTGCGGTTTCCATGTTGACACCCATGGCGGCAAAGACGACCGAGAAGTTGTCCTCGTGCCCGTCCAGCGCGTCCTTGGTAGGCCCTTTCACCAAACCTGCCTGCCGCACGATTTGGGCTGCGATCTAGACCCATTTAAGCCATTCATTAACCTACCTGCCATTACTCTAGAAGCAGGCCAAAACGTACCTCGTTATGTGGTAACCCCGCCGCCGAGAAGATGGGAATTTTCTGCCCACGGGCAATAGAGTTCATCGTGTCAATGGTCGAAATTCCGGTCTGGATCATCTCTTCGGGGTAAATGCGAGAATAGGGGTTAATCGGAGAGCCTGGTAAAGTGGACGCGTTTCCGAGTCAGCTCAGCATAGCTTGGAAATGGACCAAGACAGACCGTTGATGTCCAGGTAATCCTCTGCAAAAACCTTCGGGCCTTGGTCGATCGGGTTACCGGAGCCGTTGAATATCCGACCCAACATGTCCTCCGCAACAGGTAGCTTCATACTGCTGCCGGTAAACTCAACATGCGTAGCCTTGACGTCGACACCCGATGTGCCCTCGAACACCTGTACAATCGCCTTCTTACCCTGCACCTCAAGCACCTGTCCACCACGCTTGGTTCCGTCAGGCAGTGTCAACTGCACGATTTCATTGTACGAGGGGAACTAGATTATGAGTCAATTACCATGCTCATATGGTATGATGTAGGGGATGAGGCAGGAAAGCATGCATAGGTGCTCACTTTGACGTTATCGAGCACCACCAGGGGTCTAATCGAATGTGAGCGAAGCGTCCCCTCAACTTGGAAGATTTGGGGTACCCGTTGATGGCAGAAACAGTCCTATAGTCTGGGGAACGCGCAAATGAGCTGAGCGCGCGCGCAGCACGGGTGCGGTTACGCACCGAGATGAGGTTGAACCCGATACTCCTTGGTCACCGCAGCGGCGTTAATCGCAGCAAGCTCTTTGTCGCTGAGTCGTGGACTGGACATGATAGAGTTGAAGATTCGTCGAGTGGATGAGACGAGACGACGAGCTCCGTAAACTCAGAAAGTGATGACGGCACCGCTGAGAGCCGAGAAGTGATGCAAGTTCTCACGACTGGCTCCTGATCTACACAGACACAAACAATACTAGCTAGTGTGCAAAGAGCTCTCTTACTCTCTCTGCGGCTTCTCTAGACAATTCATAGTCTGGGGAGCTCCTGTGATAATCTCGGTCAGCTATCAATGAAACACGATTAGAGCGATCAGACCATTCTGTCTCCAACAAGATCTCTTCCACTTCATCAGTCTCATGGCCAATATCAGTTCCCTGCAAGACAAGATAGAGATATTCGCTAGAAGCAGCTCGGATCTGATCCCGTCAGAAAAAGGGCAAAGTGGACGGTCAAAATCAACTGACGCTCGGATAAAGATGGGCCAGAAATTCGGGCAGGCTTGACACACATCGTTCGAACACCACTGGAAAACTCAAGAGATTGACGACTCTGTGAAGAAATCAGCGGATTGCAACCCAATTCCCGACTTTCATACATCTTCATCGATTCCTGGATTCTTTGTATGCTCTTGATTCTCCCGATGTTCCGAATCGCAAGGGAGTGCAGATCTTGCAACCTGGTCGGCGTGCTTGTCAGATTGATCAGATGCGAACGGAGTTTGACACGAACATTCTCTGTCCTTGTGACTCTCCCGCGAGAGGTGTCAATGCTCCGGCCTCGAGGAGAAAATTGAATGTCTGCAACACAGGAACAAGAATGCCATTTGCGGATATATGGCGTTTCCCGTGATTGAGAAGGTCTTCTGTGAGACCGTGAAGATTGTACCCCAGTTCGTCTGATGTTTGCGCCACCGGCGTCGGTGGCAAGCCTTTGCAGTATTGGGCGAGGCTTGCGCTTGCGGGCCGTTGCTGTTGTGGTACTATGAGAAGCACGTGATTGCCGCTTGGAAAGTACGCACCGTGCTTTCCGTTCTGCTTCCCAGACTGAGCACGAGACCGGCAAGGACGGAAGGCCGATACAATGAAATGTCGAGCAGGCGTACAGCATGCGGGAAAAACCTGGCTCCGTCGCTCCAGCTGACCATTTCGGGCGGGCTACAACACGCATCTGTTCAATCAAAGCCGGGACTTTGGGGGAAAGGGCCCTGCCTGATAAACAGTTCACGCAAAAATACCACACTGTTCGGTGTCCAGGCTTGGCCGGACCGGACATCCGGTGCTGACAAACCCAGTAGCCTCACGAGACACTCGCCAGCGTCTTGTCGAACGTTGTCTAATCGTTCGACGCCTTGTTTGAGAACACCGGCAACGATCGCATGGTATTTCCGGCTGGGAAAGTATTCTTCGAAGGCACCGATGGTGGCAGCATGTGGAAAGACAGTCTCGCAGATTGACGTGAGACCGCGCAGGCAAGTTAGGCGAATCCAGGAGCCGACATCTCCGCGTTCGTCGACAGTATAATCGTCCAGACCGTGCAGCATGTCATCAAGGAGATGGTTGAAAGTCTCCGTCGACATACCTATGCAGGTCAGCCCCGGCGGCCGTCATGGACTAGGACGTATCACTTGCGTTCAGACATGTGCGGAACTATGTTCGCCACAATTTGAGGAACCGCAGCATAGCAGGTCCGGCGTGCTTCAACTCCGAACTTGTTGTTGACCGAATGCTATGGAGATAAACGTCAACGACGGTGCCACCATCAAATGTGTAGCCCCAACATACAGCCCCGATACATTCCAGCAGACAGCGCAAGGCATCGGGCAGGGCGGCTGGAAAGGCATCATAATCCACGGCTCCGAGGATTCTGCCCAGATTCTGTTGGATGATCGGGGATGCACTTTTGATCTCGCGGATCAACGTGGACGGAGTCTTGTCAGCGACCAATGCGAACCGCACGACAAAAGACGTATCTGGCAATAAGCGACGAACAATCCGCCAATCTGCTTCTAACTCCGAGTGCTTCGGAAGCCGCTTCTTGGACCGCAACATTGCGATGCTTGAGACCAAAGTCGAGCAGTTTTCGCCAATGCGGGACCGACGAGGCACTCCCTGCTCCCAGCTCCGTGGAGGTGAGACTGCGAGCGATCAGAGTGCACGCCGCGGAAGTGATCAGTTCGTTCCGAGGTCCCATCAGGACAGTGTCAGATACCGAACCCAGACGCGCAAAGATCTACACCTAAGCATGAGCGATGAGCGGATGAGGCGATCGATTCCAACCGCACATCGCGTAGTCCCCGTTGCTTTCCATCGCCAGAGATATTAGTCGCATCGTGGTAGGCCTGTGCAATCTCCGCCAAAGCAAGCAAAGCCCCATGCAGATCTGCGTTGTCGGGGGATTCCAGCAACCGATCCTGCAGAGATGAGTGCGGACAATGAGGTCAACGGAGCGGCTTACAATGCTCGCAACGGCTTCAGGCCCGAGAACCGGGAGATCTGAGGAGCAGATGCACCGAAGGGACTGAGCTCCCAACTGCCGCATGGTCACATCCCAATGTCGCGCCGTCACGTTTAAGAGATGATGGAAGAGAAAGCCCCGATACTCGGCATGCCTGTGCACCTCAATCAGCGATAATTTCGGAAGAAAATCCGTGCGCGATACGCACTCTGCCACCTGTGGCGCAGCAACGAGGAATGCATTCCGGCGAATGCCCACAGCGTAAAAGTCGGTCTTGCGCAGGACATCAATTCCATGTGGGAATAAGCTCTGCAATTGGAGTTGGCCGTGCGAAATGAATAGGCAACACGTGCGTACGGTGCGTCCAACATGCTCTTGAAATGCTGCACTCGCCGCCCGCCGGATGTGAATTTCCCGATCGTATAAAGCAACCGTCACCAGGTGACGGGCCAACTTTTCGGCGTGCGGGGCAAGGGAAACAGCGTCCTGAGCACGCGCTAGAGCCCACAGCACGTAAGATGCCGCGTCACGGACATTCGACCCGATCGAATGCGAGCCTTTGCGAAGATCGAAATACAGGGCCTAGATTAGATTAGATCAAGATGGATTAGATCTGGGACTGGATCAGGATTGAATGACCTTCGATAACCATTCCATCAGGGTCGGAAGGGCCGAGGTAGAGACCAGTCCTCGTCGCGCCATTTCTGCGCAAGCAAGACAGGCGCCATGCCAAGTGCTTTCCGCAATGGCAGGCAGATCGTACAGACTGGCGGCCGCGACGGAATGTATGGTGAACAGACCCAGGACAGTCTCCAGCACTTGATCCGAAAAGTCCGCTGGGAGACACTCTGCGATTCTCGCGACAGCCTTGGCGGCGGACCAGCGCACGATTGTGTCCTGATCACCATCAAATCGGGCACCTGATGGCGGCGATGGACTGACTTTGTCTTGTAGGTTGCCGAAAAGCTGCTCCAGCACAGTCTCGACCTCTTCCGGAACTTCGATCTCCGTGTGATTCACAGCCAGAATCACGCCGCCCGTCAGTGAACGAGCTATACAAGCATCAGCGCTAAGTGAGCAGACAGTGGACAAGACTACCTTGACGCTTCGACGCAACAGGCAACATGCGGAGAGGAATTCTCCCCACAAGCTTAGTCCGGAACTTTCTCAGTATGGTATTACTGTTGAGCTTATCCTGCTTTGGAACAGCTTCTGCAATGCGAAGCAAAGCAGGCACGTGGGTTTGTACAAGGTCCGCCGGAGCTGACTTGACGATCTCGCATAGCACTTGTAGCATGCCTGTTATCAGGAAGGAGTCATCAACAGCCGAAACGGATGCTTCGGCCCAGGCCAGAAACGGGGCGAATCGGGAGCGTGTGTCCTTCCTGTGCATATCAGACGGTTGGCGACCAGAAATGGAGTGCGCGCGCACCTGCCGTAGAATCTTGCCAGGAAGACCACTGCCCCTTCGCGCTCGAGCCCAGCCTTACTGAGCAGCGGCCGCGCTATCGCTTCAAGCGCGTTAGCAGTCTCGTCAGGTGCCGCCTCATCGAACTGCGACAGATCGAATGGAATCACACAGATGAGAGTCAGCCACAGTAATCCCGCGTAGCGCAAGGCCCATTGTTGAGGTTCCTGGGCGATACCGCCCATACAAGCACGTGCTAACGCTAGATCGGATACTTCGTGCGGGAAGAATCTGACTAGCAGTCTCTGTTGGAACGAATCCAATCGATGGGCAAAAGATGAACTGACGGATGGTCTTGTAGCCCCGGCTTTTGACAAAGCAATACAGTAGCATGGCAATGCGCTCTATTCGGGCAGGATCCGTGCGGTCGGCTTCTCCTTTGAGTTTTGAGACGTGCAGAGCATGAGCTTTGATGCAGGAGATGACGGGGGTAACGAGTTGCTCTAGATATGGGTCGAGTAGGTAGGATTGTTCCTGGTATTCGTCAAGCTGGCGTCTGGGTAAGCACCGGGAGACAGCGATGGCGGATTGCAATGCACTATATTCGATATTCGACGGAACAGAGATGCTTCATAAAGCTCTTCCTCCCGTGTGGGTTGCTGAGTGAGATCCAAGGCCAATAGTTGATTCTGCTTCTCAACAAATTCCCCGTGACGTTCAAAAGTGGAGTAAAGGCGCTGTTCGGGAGCAGTCTCTTCTTCCATCGTCAGAACAGGATTCGCGTGGCCCGATGCCTCAAGAAACAGATGTTGGGCAGTCTCAGGCCTTGGCCATCAGGGATCACAGCCACCTGTCAACTGTCAAAGCATGATTTTCGACCTCACCACTGACTGGACTTATCCTTGACAATTCGCAATTGATAATGGCAGCGCCTGAGCGTGGCACGAAGCGTAAACGACCAGAACCATCCCGTCAAGAGGCCAGCCTGCACCGCGAAATCCGAATTCTCACTGATCGTTAGGAACAGGATCTGGGCGTCAAATTTGCCGGAAAACTTGTGCGCGCGTTTGCTTCTGCGAAATTAAGAATGCGACTCAAGGGTGAATCCAGCACCACGAATCAAAAGATGTACGCAAAGCGTCGAAGAAAGCCATCAACTTCGAGATCCAGCGTGTAGTGAAACGGTTGAAGGGATTGAGGTAAAGTCGCTCGGGATGCAATTCATGTCCTAGATTCACGCGTCTGCAGGAAAAAGAATGGGCAGGACGCAGAGATAATAGTCTTCGAGAAAGAAATTGAGGAACTCAAGGTTCTCTTCTCCATTGGAAACCATGATTGCCTTGCAAACTGTCTACTGTACACAGGCCTTGAATCCCGACGGCCCCGCGCACACCGCCCTCCGGACACGATTGCTCAAGGACAAGCATATCACGTCGAAGGACTTCACAGGCGAAGCTATATCTCGAGAGCTCCCGGATGATAAATGTGTGTGGTTTCACGGGTCAATTGACACATCCTCATACCCACCAAGCAGGTTTGCCATCGCGAGAGTCAAAGACGTACAATCGGTTGTTGAGCAACAAGTCCCTGGCTGCTGCTGTCACGACCGCCGTGACACATCTCCGCGATGTCGTCCTACCTAAGAAAGAGATCGCAGTTGAAGAAGCGGAAGGGAATGACGACGAGGAGGCAAACGAGGAGGCAGACGGGGAGGATGTTGGTGACAATGCGGAAGCAATCGACGATGACAGTGAGGATGGCGGCGGCTGGGAGTCCGGGAGCATAGACGGAGATGGATGGGAATCTGGAACGGTGCATTCCGAGAACTCGGACGAGGAAGCACCACCGCTCAAGAAGACCAAGGCTACCGCTGCACCAAAAGCTACCGTTCCTTCAACTACATCACAATTTCTGCCGTCTCTTTCTGTTGGCTTCATACGCGGCGACTCAGATTCTGATGTTGACGATGGGGCTGAGGTAGCTCCCGAAAGAAAGAATCGACGCGGACAGCGTGCTCGACGAGCGTGAGTCGAGTTATCCTTGAACTGACGCTGATCTGATCAGACTCGCACAGAATTTGGGAGAAGAAGTACGGCCGTGGCGCAAATCACAAGAAGAAAGAAGCGGAGGACGCTGCGAACGAATTCAAAGCCAGGGTCGAAAGAAGGGCGGCGCGGGCTGCCAAGGAGGCGGAACGACAAGCGCAATTGGCCCAGTCCGCCGATCGTGGATGGGCCGGAAGAATCAAGCCAGGCAGTGCGACAGCGAAATCGAGCGAACCCAGTCTGCATCCATCATGGGCGGCGAAACGAGCGCAGAAGGAAAAAGGCGGAAGTGGGGGCATCATGCCCAGCCAGGGAAAGAAGATTGTTTTCGACTAGGGGACCGGAATGTTTGATACAGTATGTGCATACAGATACATGGTATACTGGGCGGATAGGTAGCTATACTGGTTGCCCGGACACGGGCGCACAGGAGTGTCGCACGCCGCCTGGTAGCCGACAGGCGCGCGAGCACCAAGACTGCCCGCATCGACCGCATGACGGAAACTTGGATCCGCTGGTTCCACACGTGGCACAATGGACGAAGGTGGTGCATAACCGAGAGCTACGCTCCAATGACGCAAGACCTGGCGGTGTGCCACACGGCGTGGTCGTCTGTGAATGTTCTGTCGCCCGCGGAGTCGGCATTTTGGTAGGATGGTAGTAGTTGCGGTCGTAGTCCGACAGGGAGGTCGCAGCTGTGGTCGTGGGTGAGCTGACGGGCGAGGACGACGCGGTCCGACTAATGGAGGGTATTGCAGTTAAAAGCTTCGGGGGAGATGGGGCGACAGAGGGTCCAGATATCCATGCAAGCTAAGATGAAAGTTTAACACCACCAGACCAGGAGTCATTGATATGCACTCACAACGGGATGCCGAGCAGGCTTAGCAAGCACCCGTAGAGCGCTCTGTGCGTCCGGGATAGGTGAGAAGGATCCAACGGAGGTTTTACCTCCGCGCACGGTGAGATAGACCGAGGGATCTGTTTTTGTGGGCAGCTCGAGGGAGACTTTTGCGGCAAACAACGAAGATGACGTCTTGCATCTGCGCAGGCGCGTTTTGCGCGAAGAAAGGTCTGGGAAGTCAGATAGTGATTTCTGAGGCGAACATAGCGGACTGGCAGGGACGCTGTCCAGCATGAGTGTTAAGGGTTGGAGACTTGGAGTGGGTATCGTGGATTGCTTAGCGAAGTACATAGCCATCTGTCGTTCCGATCAATCGAATATTGATCGGCTTCCATCGCCGTCTTCCACGCCGATCGCGCAGTATGTAGCATTGAACGCCAAGTAAGTACCGTTTGAATTTCAATTTGAATTCGAAAGCCGGAGGATGTAACAAATGCGATCACGTATCTAATGTACAAGTATGCGATTGAATTCCAAGCATGCGATGCTGGCTGGCCTAGTTGGTCGTGGCCATGGTGTGCTGGGTCGTGGCGAATCCGAGCCGGGCGTTGGTCGTGTCATAGACCGAATAGAAGCGCTGGAGGAACGTCATCCCATCTGGAAGCGCATCAGCACGATATATGCGTGGTGGTAGAGACACTGCGTACTAATGAAGCAAAGGCCATTGCCCTGCTGAATTTTGCCCATGCTGGCAAAGACAAGGGAAATCTGGTCGTCGGGAACGCCCAAAGTCGAGTTCATGCTGCGCGGCCAAATCTGAGCGTTCTTGGTGAATTCGTACTTGGTCTGCGGCGCTGCGTCAGTCTGGGAACAGCAAAGTCCACGGCGTAACACACATCACCGATGGTGATGAACATGCTCTGCATCTTATTGTATTGCGCATCGGTGACGGTCATCAATCCGGTCGACGGGTCCATCTTTGCTCCCGTTTTCGCCATGTACTTCTGCAATACGGCGTCTGGAAGCATGAACAGAGTAGTGCCGCTGATGCTCGTCAGCGATGGAACTATGCTCTGGCACGAGTAACGTACGTGTCGGCGATGCCGGGACATTGGGACATGATCTCCTCGCCGTCGTATGTAATGGACTGTTCCATGCCCCAGTATTTCTTTGCGGGATCCTGCTGAGTGATTGGGTTGTACTTAATTTCGCTCGTGCATTTGGAGGTGTCGGGACCGCCAAAGGTGAGGCAGCCAGTGGGTGCATTGTCGGTCGTGGTGGGTTCGTAGTAGATCCCAATGACTTCCTGACGGGGCAATGAGTATGAGGTGATGGAATGCAGACCGATCTGAACGCACCTGCTGGATCAGACCCTGCTTGAGCATATTGTCAGGGAGAGTAGGAATGGGTGTCCCGTCAACGGTGCCTACGCGCCACAAGGTGAGTATATGCAGCCAGGTGCCTTGGGCGACAAACCCTCAGTAAGGTCGACAGGACCAATGCCGAGAATACCATCGCTGCCGACACCGTCCATGTCTTGTATCTGGGTAGCGACGCCCACCGACTGATTCTTGACCACCAACTTGTCGCTGAGCGAGATTATGTCGGTATCTATCCGATGAACATCAGCATGGAACGTAGATGAATAAGCCGCATACATTCTTGGCCACTGCAGGCTCCCTTTCCATAAGAGATCTGGAAAGGTTTACGGGTATCCTACAGAATGGATGAGGGAAAGTAAGGAAACGAGAAGAGGTAGCATACGACTGAACTCGCGCTAGGATGGTAGCGACCGTTTGCGCCATTAATCCAGCAGTTCGAAGAGCCTGTGGATGATGTCAGGCTTTGCTCCTGCCGAGAGTCACATTGACCGGCCTGTGTCGATGAGGAGCTTCCACTTCTCAGGGGGAGAGCCAACTCCCACGTCAACGAGATATGTCACAGCTGTAGCATACGATTCAGTAGACGTTCCAGACGTAACCAGCCTTTTAACATGCCAGCATTGGTGACACTTATGGATGTGTTGGGGCCCGGAGAAGATGGCGATGGTCCGCCGGGCGCAGGCTGGTCACCCATCGGTTGTTGGCCCTGAGGCGGCTGCCCTTGATGGTGACGATGAGCCTGGACGATTGCGGAGAGAGGTCCGTGCGCGTGGTGGCCGGCAACAAAGTGGCGGGCACGCGACTCGTCGCGTTGCTGGATGTTCTTGGAGGAAGGGGCACGTATCTCCGTCTGGAAGCCGACACTGTGGATGGTCTGCATTGTTGGAATGTGAGGGATGGTGGGGAACAAGAGAATGAGTGGGCCACCCTCAATGACGTCCTTTTATAGTAGCGACGCGCGGGGCTTCAATTGAATACTTGTCGGAAGCTGAATTGTGACATGACGGTGACCGCGAAGAACTCGTGAAGAATGAGAGCTTTTGAGAGCACGTCCGAGTCTTACGGAGAGGCCCAGTCACTAGCGAAAGAGATACAGACACGGTGGCTTGAATATATGCGAGTGTGCACGTGTATGAATCGAGTTTTTGTAACAGCTTGGGGAGGTGGAAGTTTTCCAGCAAGATTGTCAATTAAGCAACTTTCCGATTGAAAAACATGGAGGAGGGAAATTGGAATCATCGCCGATGCACAGCCATCTGTCTGTCAAATAAATTCCGATCAATATGTCCCCAACAATCCCGACGCACAAATTCTCAGCACTGAACGGTGTCACCTTGCTGGGCCTTGGGAGCGATTTCCACATGGTAACATCCAGTATTCCCCTGGTTTTTTCTAGAGGTTTGAAACTACTTTGCTCTTCTCTCCGCAAAGCCCATTTGTGGACGTGTCTCGAGAATGTGGTCACACGACGAGTTGTCCCGGCATCGACACTCGGTAATTTCATATTAGCGCGTAGTCTTTCTTATTATGCAGGGTTCTGTCAAGTAGTACACCCAGCTCATCGCATGATGTCTCTTCTCCGGATTGTCTCCGCACTACAGAAGATGACAACGGCCTGCAGATCCTCCCAAGCGCGGAGAACGCTTGCAGTCTTTGGATGGGCGTCAGATGCTTTATCTCTGAGGCTACATCAATCATTTTTCTGAATCCACCCCTTCGTAGAAACTGACGTAGTAGTCCGCGGGGACGGCAACTATGGAATTAGGACGTTGCATGAGATCAAACCATTGAAACTCGCCGATATTTAGGACAGAATCAGTTTGCCTCACATGATATCTGATATACGTTACGGGAGAGGTAAGATTAATTTTAGTTTCGCGAGTGCAATCCATCATCAAATCTGGCCTCGAGTATCGACTGCTTATGCCATTGAGGAAAATAGTATTCAACGCCGAGTCCGTTCCCAATCAACTCGGAGTTACGGGCGTGTTGCGGGCGTGTTGCGGGGAACCTCGCATCCGAGTTAAACAGAAGTCGCCGGTCTGTGCGTTTGGCCCTTCAGATCAATTCTTGGGCTCGGGGTATTGACGATCGTGGGAACATAATCCATAGCGTTTTGACTCGCAACTCCATTGCGTCTTCGACACTGAACACCCCACACGACCGACTCAACCAGGGTCGCCCCTCCCTCGCCGCCTCTTTCTTTCTTTCTGCTCTAATCGAGCTACGAGTCGGCTAGCATGGTCCGTCTCGTTAATCTGTCATTGGTTATCTGGCCTTCCTCTCATTTGCCGAAAATCAGGGTCAAACTCTTTCTTCCCCCGGTTCGCTTCATTGTCATGCCTGGAAGATTCTAGCCTCACGTATCATTCTAAGCAACGAACAAAATCTCAGACTCGGGTGGTAATTCACGGTTCCAGTATGGCGTAACGGAGATGCAGGGATGGAGAATCAGTAAGCAGCACCTCCACTCCAATCGCCCTTCCTGCTGTGCTTGCTCTGACCACACTTTCTTTTCCAGCAATGGAGGATTCCCATGCTACGGTTCTTGAGCTCGACGAAGGGAAACAAGAAGAGTCGAACACTTTTTTCGCGGTGTACGATGGCCATGGCGGTATGATCATTTCCGCGCCACAATTCAGTGGCTCAACGATCCTTTCTGTTCTCAGGAAGCACTGTCGCCAAGTTTGCAGGGCAAAACGTGCACAAACGATTGGTCGCCGAGGAGTCATACAAGGAACAGAATTACGAGCAAGCTTTAAAGCGAGCTTTCCTCGGAACAGATGAAGATATATTAGCCAGTCCGTAGCCTTTCGTCGTTCTTTCCTGGCGCGATCTTACTGATCGGAACACTTCCTTCCAGATCCCGCCCACACTCGCGATCCATCAGGGTGCACGGCTGTGGCGGCCCTGGTCACGAAAGATAAGATCTATGTGGTACGCCTTGCCCTGGCCAGATGCACTAGTTGTTGATGCGTCTATCAGGCCAACGCTGGAGACTCCAGGGCTGTGATTAGCGTCAAGGGTGAAGTAGAACCTCTCAGCTTTGACCATAAGCCGGCGAATGATGGTTTGTCCGTCCACCCATTTTCCATTGCATTCTCAGCTCCATCCCTAGTCGAGAAGGCCCGTATCTCTGCCGCCGGTGGTTACATCGAATTCGGTCGCGTGAACGGTACGTCTAAATTTGCGACATGCCGAAGGGAGTAGGGACTAATTACTCGAAGGAAATCTGGCTCTGTCCCGTGCGATTGGCGACTTTGAGTTCAAGAAGAATTACAACATACCACCCGAGCAGCAAATCATCACCGCAAATCCCGATGTTACCATTCACGACATCACGGAAGAGGACGAGTTTCTCGTCATTGCTTGCGATGGTGCGTCATTCGTTTATTCACCAGGCCAGGTTCATTGATGCATGATGTAGGCATCTGGGACTGCCTCTCATCGCAACAAGTCGTCAACTTCATCCGATATCACGTCTCAGAGGGACACAGTTTGGTTGAGATCGGTCAGAACATGTGTGAACACTGTCTCGCACCCGACACCAATTCTGGTGCTGGCATCGGATGCGACAACATGACTGTCCTGATTGTGGCAATATTGAACGGACGCACGATGGAAGAATGGAGCGCTTGGATCACTGATCGAGTGAAGAATGAATATGGGTACAAAACGCCAAGTGTGCTGCCTCAACTCTACGCGCAGAGCCGTCTCTTGTCTTTCAGAGCCCGTCGAGAGGCCCACGAGGCGAGGGAACGAGCTCGACAGGATCAGGCGTCCTCCGGAGACGACTACTCTGGGTTTGGGAGCAGTGGGTTCGGGCAGTTGACCAGAGTGCTGGGAAGCTCCGGAGGCATCTCCTTCCACCCTGGTTCGGCGATCATAAGCGATTCGGGTGCACTCATGTTCGGCTCGGCGGACGAAGATTCGGAAGATGAGAGCGGGGAGGATGATCTCGAGAACGGCCGGTCCTACTTCAAGGAGACCATCCTGGGTCGCGACGAATCTACAGACGCGATGCAGAAGCTCCAAGCCCAGCTTGACCAGTTCGAAAAGGGTGGCCATGAGATGGACGAGGAGGTCGCGGCAGATAACCATGGGGTCTCTGCTGCTGCAGAGGCACCGACTGCCTCGAAACCTAACGGTGATACCTCGGTTGAGCCTGTAGAACAATTTACTTCGACCCCAGCTGGCGATGCGCCACATCCCGTGGCCGCAGTGGAGGGTCTCATGGACACGAGCGACGATCCCATTAAGGCTTAACTGTATATGTCTGTAATCTGTTACATCCACTGGTTTTACTTGCGTCGCATAATTTCATGTCCTGTGTACAATTCACATTTACATCGGGTTATACAATGTTTTTCACGACCACCAATTCCTTTTCGGTCAATGCTAGGATGAGCACGTCGTTTCCGACATGAATTGCACCAACCCCCAGAAGAGAGCCCTGATTTCCGGCCCTGAGCACAGCCTGCTTGGCCCAATTTTGTCCTGCCGGGGCCGCACGATATATGTACACATTTCCTCCCCGGTTGTGCGTTCCATTTTCAAACGCCAAGACCGCTGAATTTGAAATGTGGTGTGTGAATCGCGTGTCTGTTTTTGAGGCCAGGACGAATGACAGGGCGGAGAAAGTGCTCGAGTGAGTCCAAGTCGCTGGATCCTCGTCGTTCGAAAGTGCTGGCTGCAGCGTAAAGACAGTACCGTCGATACCGTTCTTGAGTACAAGACTGCAGATCAGGTTACTCCCGGGCAGGTCGGTCGAAAGGAGACGGCCAGGGAGCTCTCCACTTTGCGATGCCCAACTTGGCGAGGCGCCGTTCACTTTGACCCAGGTCAACTGCGTATTTTTACCGATCGAAAGGTCAACTTCGTCATCCATCTCTCCCTGTGCAAGACTGGGAAGTCCCGTTCCCAGACCTAAGCCACTGGCATCCTCGCCCCCGTGCAGCGAAGTTGTGTATTTTTCGAGAGATTCGCGGATCTTCCAAAGCTCGGATGGATCGACGGTTTCGGGAACTTCAGGATCGTCGGACGAGGTGCCGGACGACTCGAAGAGATGCGACCAGCGTGTGCCCTCATGTTGTTTGTCGAGATGAAGGGTTAATAGACCAAGGTGGTGGTCACCCTCGCGGTCCCATGTCCACATGCTCGAGGATACGGCAACAGGTCCCCATAATCTTTTAGAGGAATAATGGGGAAGAGGCATGTCAGTTGCGATATCGTCTTTGATGTGCAGGGTCAATGTGTGCGGTGAAAAGGTCACTTGAATGCAGGCTGTGGGCGTGCTTGAAGGAAGAGGCAGGACGACTGTCACGGAATCAGAGGTTTGTGTCCACGAGTATGGCGGAGGAGGGGTTACATCGAGACTCTCATTAGCCCGTGGAATTGGAACTATTTCATCTGCAGCGGGCTCGTAGGCTGGTACAGCGGGACCCTCGATAACGGTATAAGCACATTCCCCCATGATCACAAAAGTGCCTCTGGATTCGTCATAAAAGACATTGAACGGCACCGCGGAGCCTCTGCGTTGCCATATCACATCGAGAGGGAGCACGGCATCAGATCGAGATATTTCTGAGGATTTTTGGAGACGGATTCCGTAGATATTGAAATTGACGGTTTCGGTCCGGGAGGAGACTGGTGATCTCGCCGAGAGCACAAGAACGGTTTCGTCGACCAGAGTTTTCCCGATATGGATGCGGAAGGGATCAGAAGCCGGTAGCCGGTAAACTCCTCGCGTGCCAAGTACTTCTTCGCCGCAATCCTCCAAGAAGTAAAGAAGACCAGCACCATCTGACACAGCGACGTGTGTAGATGAGAGCGTTGCGACCGAGGGGTATTCACGAGTTTGAGTGTTTGATGACTGAAGGGGACGAGGCATTTCAAACATAGAGCGGAAAGACGGAGTGGACGTTCCCTATTAGCATCGCAGGTCAGCCCATGGTCGCAAGCGTGCAAGAACATGACATACATCGAAGCTCACGACGATGACATGATAATCTGCATCAACATAGATGGCTCTCGAAGAACCTTGCCATATGGTGAGGTGGTTGTGTGTAATGCGGCTCTGGACTTCGTGGAAAGATAATGGGTGGTGGGTGGACACTGTAGCTTGGGTGATGGGATACTGGAGAGAATGGTGTGCAACGCACTCTTCCTGATCGATGGCCTCAAATTTGTACCCATCAAACTTGGGATTGAGGAGATTCCGATTTGTTATCATGGCAAAGGCAAAGGGAATCGCGAAGGAAATGGATGAAGAGGAACTCGAAAGAGTGCGGGCACCGGAACGGATAGTCACACAGCACGTGCAGCAGGCGTCACGCGCAGCAATGGAAAGCATGATCACGGAATCAATGGTAAGGGCGATAGATCCGAACATAGAATGCAGTCAGTGTGGGATGCATATAGAAACGGAATCTTTGGGGATGCAGCTCTCCCCCTACCCACTCGCATGCCTCCTCCCAATCTCAGCGTCCTGCGAGCACCATATGCCAGTCTGGTTCGCGAGATCTATCTGCGGACATACCAGATGCTCTTCTGGAGTATCCTGTTTTCACCCCGGGTCATGATTCTGAGGATACTGCGAGCTTGTGTCCAAAGGTAATGTTACAGTGCACTCTTCGTCTCGCAATCAGGTCATTCATCTCTATGACAGCACAATGCCTAATCTGTAAACGTGCCTCCATCTGGCTCAGACCTCCAGGAAGTCTGGATCATCTTCCACAAGCATATCCAGCAGTCGGAGGAAAGAGGCGGCAGGAAATCCGACCACGTTGTTGTAGTCGCCGTCCACTTTTCGGACCAATGCGCCGCCCCGTCCCTGTAACACCAGTTCACCATGTCTCATCAAGCAATTGTATTTACTTACCTGGATCGCAAAGCCACCTGCAACAGTCAGACCCTCTCCACTCTCGACGTAGGCCTCTAGAAGCTCTTTGGGGTTGTCGGAGAAGTAGACCAGTGAGCGTTCGTCAATGGACCTGGGAAGCTGTTCAACGCTGCTGTTTCATGTTATGGGAGGATAGGTATTACTTTGTCGCGTATCCGGGCGCCGTCAAGATCGGATAGACTAGGCACGAGGGTTAGCATGCGTACAGGCGAGAGAGGCGAGAAGTCTCACTGAGAACAACACCGGTCACCACTTCGCACACACCACCGTTGAGATCGAGCAGCATGCGGTAGTTATCAGGCTTCGATGTCGGCTTCTCTAAGAGTTCCTGCCTCGCCCCAGGAAGCATGGAGTACGATGTTTGAGTGGTGGACGGCAATGCATGTGTTAATACGACAGTGTCCGCTATGCGTTGCATGAGCCCAGTGATCGAGAAACACAATTAGAAGTCACCAGCGATGACCAGATCGGGCGCATTCTCTCCATCTTGTTCCTAGGAAAGATGTGAATCTTCGCGCGGACCATGGTTGCTACACTGACCACCAACCGTTCGTAGACTTCTACCGCTTTGTGGTTGGCTGTCGCAACAGGATATTCATGAATGTCCGTAAAGGATCCCGCTGCAAGGTCCTCCTCGAAGTTAGATGGTACTATGTCTGGAGTCAAACCCTAAGCCGTCTGTTGTCAGTGGTGCGTCCTCGGTCATCGTCCCCGTTGAACTGACAAATGTTTTGAGAATATCTTTCCTCCGAGGGCTGGCAGAGGCCAGCACAATCCGTTTTCCCTTCAACTTCTTGATTCCGGGAGTCTGAAGGGCTGTTGGGAGGATGTATTTGGACGCCATGATGGTGAATTGCACAACGACTGTTATGTAGCTCTGATCCGATCGGGCGTCAGCATCGCGATAAGTCACAGTATGTCACGATCGCGTGTTCTACGTGAATCACTGACGACGCGTCCCTCGGCAACTGATGAGGTTTCGAGCTACAATCGAGAATGTGAACGCTTTCTTCCGTGTGTCTACCCTTTCAAGAGTTGTCTGCATCATAACTCTGGCAAGGTATCATACAGGCCGTCGAAAAGCTACAGAAGAAATGTATCATGAAGTTCACCGAGGAGGTGATGTGCATTATCTGCAATAGCGAGGACAACGAGGGGGGAATACAAGTCTGGTCGTATGTCTATATCATCCAAGTTTTCCATGCAACGCAACCCTGTTCTCGTTTCAGGCAAATCACGGTTCTTTCACTCTTCGATTCATACCGAATACAATCGAACGCTGCGAACGTTATCACTATGTCGCTGTCTTCGGAGGCGCTTCTCGCGACTCTCAGATCAGCCTCCACCTCATCAAACTCCACGCACGAAACTCAGGAGGTAGTGATGAAGCTGGCGAAGAAGAACGACGTCGCGGTGCTGAGCTTCGAGATCACAGGCGTCTCGCGCCAGGGACGCAAAGTACGCGTGTCATATGACGTGCGCATCGAAGTCATGAAGCCGGCGGATGTCGAAAACCTCAGGGAGCCATTGTGTCCCGAACCGGATGTATGTCCCGCCCATGTTCGCTACGCTCTGCACCACGCTGGAGCTGGTTTTACAGGTCAACATCGTTCTTCCTCCGCTGCAGAAGCTCCGCCCCATCGTTGAGCGACTGCGTTCGATGTCAGACTATCTTCTCGTCCGAGCCAACAACAGCGGTTGCTTGAATCTGTCCGTGCAGACTGACAGTGTGTCGGTCGACACCGAATGGAAGAATTGCACAATAACACCAAGAGGTGTGTGTTGTTTGAGTTTGAACGGTCCGAACTTGACTGTTCTCTTCCCTCGAGCTGCTGCCAATTCTCAAGATCCTGAACCTATTGAGAAGGATCCTGTCGAGATGTTTCCGGTCACAGTAACGACCCGAAGCTTCTTGAAGTTCCTCAACAGTCATGTTGTTTCCACCACGACTATTGCTTGTGAGTACTAACCATGAGTATCGCCAGTGCTTGACTAAGACAGGTATCTGCCGGAACCATTGCATGATTCTATACGTCTATTTGGGCGATAGAAGCGACGCAGGCGGAGTGCTCACGTTCTACATACCAGGACAGGACCTGGGGAATGACTGAAACTACATGCTCCAATTTACACTGTACACACGATACCCAAGCCGGCTGATTATACCTCGTTGTCTAATTGGTTCACTGTGCGGAGGTTGACTGTTCAGGAACTACCGAAGGCGCCGGCGAGGAGTCTTTGTCGTCCGAGCAAGATGGATCATCCGCTGCGCTGCTGGCTTCCAAGTTCGACTGGTCTCTCTCAGCTGCAACAGCTTGAGCTTGTGGGCCCCAGCCAACTCTTCCTTCGAGCCACGGGCCTGCGCTGCTCTGATGGCATCCCTCGGGACACAAGCACTTTCCGCCGAGCGTCGTAGGCAGATTCTCCGGATCGATCAAGGCGTTGAGGACATTCTGATAGTCGTGTCCGAGGATGTCGACTTTCTCCGCGGTTTCCTTCGAGAGCCAAGGTCGCATCATTGACCATATCATGGTAAAGGACGATGGGGCATTGACGATAGCGAGTTGGCCCATCCTAGGAGGATCATCAAGCCGACAGTCCTGATGTGCTGAGTAAGCAACACTGCAAGTCACTCACGTTTCTGGAAAGTAATCTTGCGAAATTTGGAAAGCCGTACGGACGAGGCTCTTCATGCCCCAGAATTTGCTCAGCCTGAAACCCACTTCATGATTGCACCCGGGTTGCAGCGTAAAATAGACTCACCCGAAGCCCTGCAAGTCGACGATGACCAAAACCGTGCCAACGTGGGTGCCGGCTTGACGGGAACACGCCGGTAGTATTTCGCGCGTCAGACATTCCGCGTTGCTCAGCAGCGTCCGCCAGTGTCGGGACGGCGTGACATGCTTGTATAATCTTGGGATGTCGACGCTCCCGAGTGTGTGAACGTTGATTGGCCGGCCTTTCTGCTTACCCCGGAAGAGTAGCAGCACTAATCGGGATGCGAATCACGCGAGATAGACATTCAAGCCGCACCTTGTCGGTCTTATGGAACCACAAGGGCCAGCAGTCAAAGACTATCTCGCGTTCGGGATACTGGCGTGCGGTATGAGCTTGAAGGTACGGCTGCGGCGAGACGTCCTCGACGAACATCAAAGGGGTCCGTCTCCTCGTACAGCGCGTCGATGCCAACACCTTCAACAGTCTTGCGCCAATTCTGAGCATTGGCTAGCATTGTCTTGGAGTGGGCTATGTTGAAATTGCGCGCGCGTAGAAACCGCCTGCGGAAGCTATAAGGACGCAAACGCCATGGCGTAGGTAGGTTGCAGAGTCGCACAACAAGGTTTCATCGTCCGTCCCTATTGTATCTCCCTCCTTGATGATTCCCTCGTCGAATACTTGCTTCCGAAATGCATCTTGAGTTTCGCTCTGCGTGGGAGAGAGCATGAGGGTTGGAGACAGTGGCACAGGGGGTACCGATCTCGTATATCTGCTTACGCCACGGTCTTGATTGATAACTCGCTCCCGTTTAGCCCGGGAGCTGCGGCGGGTGTCGGGGGCAGGAGAACGCGCTGTAAGTCAAAGTTCACGTCTAGTATATTTGTGGCAGGGAACAGTACATTAGTGCCTATTGATCAGAGCTGGCTGCCACGATGGGAGATAAGATAAGGGGATCAACGAAAGTCAAACGCCCTGTCAAGCTCCTCACTGGATGGTTTGTGCATGAGAGTGTGCATCAGGTCCGGAGTATGAGAAACGCACAGTGTCTTTCGCGATGTCTCTACGGCGAAAAGCCGGATGAGCACACAAGCGACGACATCCCAGCCGATGAAAACGAAATACAGGCGCCAACTGATCTTGGCCAGGGCGATCGGCGTAGCGAAAGTCACCACCGCCGAAGCGGCAGAAGCGACCAGAGTCTCGCTAGATGCGCGTCACCTTTTATTGAACGCAGGTATAAAGAAAGATGCCTACAAAGCAACGCCATTGGCCCTAGAAAATATGAGCCTCACATGCCGCCGACTGATACCAGAGAACACCAACCTATTATGGAAAGACATGCATTCGGATGTGTATGCTGGCGGTAAGCTCACGTATGTAGCGCAATAGAAGAAATTGAAGAGCACTGAGAACAGATATTAGTTTCGGTTGGATGAATCATGATGATGTTACGAACTGAAAAAGGCGATCGCGGTGTGGGAGCCGGCTGGATTATCGGCAGAATAAACCCATCTGGCTGTGCAAGCTGTCCCATCTGAGAGCAAGGTAGCTGCAAGGGTGAGACAAACGGACCTCCAGAAATCGCCAAACAGACGGTGCAGGAGACTGTGCCCCAGAACCACAGCGAAACGCGGCCAACTGAATCGCCTCAACTGGTGACATCATTTGAAAGAACGTTTGAACATACCTCTATCAGAAACCAGAGCGCCGACAGTTGCACCTGCAGCCGAGACGATGCCTGAGACAAGGCTCAGAACCAGACGGAGATTCTGCGTGCTAGTGACAAGTTGAACACAGCGTGACACAGAAGATTATCCTGGCTGACCTGATATGGTCTTGGGCAAGTAAGACCACGAGGAAGTAGCTGGGAACAAACAAGGTTAGAGCTGGGACGCTTGCAGCGAAGCATTCTACCTTAGGCCACTTCCAGTCCATTGAGACGACAGGGCAAGCAAGACAACGAGAAACACGCGATACCGATCGCTGCGCGTCTTGAATAAGGCTAGATAGTTCCTGTGTAGAGTATTAGGAAACGAACCGACATGTCTGAGTCCTGATATTCACCAAGAGGGTCGGCCGACATTGCCATTGATCGAGCGATCCAAATCTTGAATTTGTAGAAGCACGTGGGGTTCTGCTGGATCCCCATTGGCCTGATATCGAGCGAGGACTTGGAGGGCTTCGTCGCGGCGCCCAGCTGACATGAGCCAACGTGGTGACTGGGCATGATAAGATAAGGATCGATGCGATGTTTCGTGTCCTTGACCTCCGGAATGAACACGACAGTCAGGCAAAGTATGGCCGACGGAATGATTTGAATTGAGAGCGGCAGTCTCCAGGAGGCAGTGTTATTCCACCGGGCAGCTACGGTAGTCACGACTCCACTGATTATGGTCGCGAGTATTGCAGTGGCGCCATACCTGCAGGAATAAACAGGAAATTCTGGCACTGGCGCGACGGAGCGACTCACATTCCTGTCAGAGGGCCGCGCCACTGCCGAGATACTCAATCCACGCTGCAAGTGGCAACCAGAAATGCCCTGCTTACCTGTGGCGGGGATAACTCGGCAACGTACATCGGCGCAGCGACTTGTAGCAAGGCAGTCGACATTCCCAGCAGGAATCGTCCGCCTTTCAGATAATTTACATCTTTGGCGATTGTGACCACGATGGCCCCTGCGGGAAAAGGTCAGATTAGGAGATTCGGACATGGCTAGCAAGGCTCTACCAATGAGACACAGCAGGCCTCCCCAGAACTGTTGGAATGAGACGGTGAATATACCGGCTAATCACAAACTCGCCATCGCTCCGCGTCGCCCAACTCGATCCGAAAGAGGACCCGCGACTAGGACGGTGAGGCATGTTCCTGTATTCTGTCAACAGTCATCCCATGTCATTTCATGCTGCATACCGAGCGTGTACTAGATGAGTCATACGGTTTAGCAAGCCGGCGCAAAGCACGGACGGTGAGGAAAAGAGCACTTGCCATTCCGAAAACGAGAGCCGTCGTGGTGCCGACGCCGCCACCGGAGCTTTGCCCGTCGAGGTTGAAATAGCTCAGATAGGACCTGCGATGAGGTTTTGCAGTGGCACGCGACAGCGTCGGAGACGGACGAACCCGATTCCATTCACGTAGTTCATCACTGTCACCAGGGTCAATGCTGTTTCACGCGCCGGAAGGGACCGCACCTGAGATATCGTATCCGACGCACACACTCGCCATCGACGGTACCAACAGCACCACGTACAGTCTCAGTGCAGCGGAGCTCGTTGGAGACAGTGCCGGGACCGAGGTCGAGCTCCCAGAGTCTGAGGCGGAGATGCGCATGTCCTTCGAGGGATCTGTCCCAAGCTCCATGCTGCACAGTCAGTGAGCGAAAATACGGTTGAAAGCAAGGTGCCTCAGACAACGATCTGCCCGACATTAGTACGACCATTAGGGCCGTCTTTCCTGCATCTCGGATCCCGGTGGAGACAAGGGACGACTAGAATTCCGGTGTAAGGCTATCTAACACGTCACGGCACGCCTTCTAGATGACGGCAGATCTCAGACGGTGCTAGTAGCCGTGGTGCACAGGTTGCAGTAGATTCCGCGTTCGTCGAGTGGCCGTTGAACGTGAGTTGAAAGAAATCTATCGAACGTAGAACACTGCGGATGTCGACTCAGGCCCCGCTTGAGCCGCGGGACTCTAGAGCGAAGCTCGAGCCATTGAAGCAATCGGCCCGGATTGATTGACATTCGGTAGGGTCATGGCACCGGGAGTTCAAGTACGTTGAAAGAGGTTGACTTAGGAGCAGGCTTTATTTGGACATGACGCGCCAACCAAACAACTCCCCCTGCCTCCTCTCTCCTCCTCCGCTATGAGCAAATACGCGCCGCATCATCGCAGTTCTAACCACCCCAGGGCCAATTCGTCTACTATCTGCCAGAAATGTCTCAAATCAGGCACGTTACATACGCCCCAGGCCACGCACACGTCCCTTACTGTACGCGCACGCGACAGGCCACTTCATCTATGAATGCAAATGGGAGAGACCATATGTTTCCCGCCCTTCTCGCACCGAGATGCTCGAAAACCCCTCGGTGCTAGCCAAATTGAAGGCTTCTGGCAAGCCCTCGATCGAAGTTCCTGAAGAGTTCAAAAAGAAGTACATATCCCTCCTCTGGCAAGAGTTGCGCTCTCGTTGACGAGCCATGGCACTGCAGGGAGGGCACTGCGAATCGCATCCTGGAAGCGAAAGAAAAGGAAAGAGAGGTGAAGGATAAGGGGAAAGGGAAAGAGAGAGAGCCAAAGAAGGCCAGGAGGTTAGTCAAGTGCCGCCTCATCGACGTTTATGTGTCCAATTGACTTTACGGAAGGTCGTCGAGGTCTTCTTCAGACTCAGAGTCCGATTCGGATTCTTCACGTAGTTCGAGTTCAGACTCGGACTCTGATTCGAGTGGTTCAGAGTCGGATTCCGATCGGTCGAGAGAACGCAATTCTAGGCGACGAGTGCCTAGAAGACGCGCATCTAGTGCTCGCTCTCGGTCAAGGTCCCACTGAGTCCAGAGCTTTTCCCCAGTGTAGGATTCTGTTCTCCGATCAACAACTGTGGCTCATTATTCCGTGTTGCTGCGATTAATAGTATATTGGTCGTATCGTCCGAAAGTCGGTTGCACCAAAAGCTATGTACTTGATAATTGACTAGCAAACTTTGAATCCAGTCGCTTTTGTGTTCATAATCAACGCGACAATCAGACTGTTTCCAGCGTCAGTTGGCGGTCTATAGGACGCGCTGATCAGGATACTCACCCATACAAGCCTAGCACTTCGCCAAAAATCAATATGAGCACCATCCCGACGAACACTTTCTGTTCTTGAACGTAGGCCCGCACGCACTGCAGAAAATGAATCGAGGGCCCAACCAGATACAATGACCACGTACCGAGTCGCCCACTAGGCCGATGGCATACCCCGCTGCGAGACCAGTGGTTCCACAAGCCAGACCCGCACCCAGATGCACAAATCCAGCAGCCAAGGGATAGCTATTTGGGGTCACTGGGAGAAAACGCAACGTAGTCAGTTACGCAACACGGGTACCTGCCCCAACGAGACTGCTCACCGGATCCCGAAATCAAGACCGAAACGACCAAGCCGTATACAGCGATAATACCGGACATGACGACAGGAATGAGGGACTGGATGCAGAATAAGACCAGAAAGCATTCGCAGTTCTTGATTGCGTATGACGCGCCTTCATGATAGCCTCAGGTTTGAACGTCCCCAGACCCGCAATGCCAATGCCAGACTTGGCAGTCCCAAAAGCAGCGCCCAGGGCTAGGTGATGTCGATAAATCCTCGTTGCTCAATTGGAAGAGGCACTGAGATGACATACTACTCAACACCATCTGCGAGGGGTTAGTGAGCATTTATGCGAGCGTAAAATACGCACTGCAGAGGCGACGCCCGCAAAGCCAAAGAAAGGCGCATAAGCTGGACAGAGAGACATGATGAGAGAATGTTGGAGGTCGAAGACTGCAATGAATGAGCAGGTGAATGAGGCCGCTGCTGCGAAGGTGCTGATGTGGCTGTGCGAAGCCCTCCGAGAACTGATAGCATCATTGAGTACCGTGACTTGAGGGAAGATCGCGTGGTATCTAGTCTAATCTATTTGTTACCCTGCTTGTCTATGGTAGAGGACATCATTTCGCGACAAAGATTTTGATCAACTTTGTCCCCGTCATGGGCATTCCCCACATCCATAGATTTTCTTCTTACTGCAGAATTAGATAGCTATTGAGGTATAGAATCGATCCTGTGGATCGGATTTTCATCATTGTGAAGTCGGAAATTTTAGCATGAATTTGGCCGTCACCAAAAAGGAAATTCTGTGATCGCTGTGATCGGCAGCTTCCGGAAGCTCCCGACACTCATCTAACAGCCATGGCGCGCAAGAAGAAGGGTCCCCAGCGCTATAGAAACTCTGCCGGAGTGTTTGTCTCTCAAAGCTCCCCCATGGAAGTGTCCTCGGACTCGGATAGAAGGATCTGGATGAAGCAGAGCAGGCTTGGAAGATGAAAGAGGATAAATATCGACTACAGATGTTGAGTAAGTAGTTTAAATGATCGTTTTCTCAATATCGGTCCCCACTGCTGGAAGTCGAAAGTTCGATTCTCGCTCGCGGATTTGGCCATCTAGCCGAGATTTTTTTTCCCACGGACCAAAATTTCAGATTTGGGCCACTCTTACATATTTCCTGAAGATCTAGCCCAGTTACAGGCCAAAATTCGCAAAAATGCGATAGGACATTAAGTAATGTCCTCTACCATACTTTACATTAAATGGGCATGAGATGTACTGACGATGCCGACAGGCACCACAAAACCAAGTTTTCATATCTTCTGTCGCACCTCCTAGATCTCTTCAACACAGCGTCACAATCGTTCATTCTCCTTTTCGGCGAGGACCATTCTGGGCGTGTACGGCGAGCCTTTCGAAATCGGCATCTGGTGGAGCTTCTGACCGTTTTGACGAGACGGCGACAGAAGCTGGCAGAAAACTCCGGTTCCGTCCTTCTGCAATTCCATGTCCGCCGTGTAGTCTGAGAATATGTCCGGCTCCTCCTCCTCTGTTGAAACAACACAACGTGGGATGAGTCGAAGAGTGGATGCATGCACAAGTGGCGATCCCCTCGGTAGCTGATAAGGTGCATCGATGCGACGTTTTGCAAGGTCCAAGGAGGCAGAGACGGCGGATTCGACCAATTGATTCAGATGGCTCCTGGGTGCGAAATCCTGAGAGACATTCAGCGCAAGCAGTTTTTTCGAGTACCGAAGCCACCCACTGCTAGCACTCGACGGACATGAAGTTTGGGAACACGCTTCGGCTTGTCGCCTGGATTCTGGGTTGTTTGTCAGCACAAGCACTGACCACATCGACTGACTGACTCTTTCAAATTCCGCACGAGCATGTGCGAGTTTTAGGCTAGGGAGGACATCGATACGCCGGATGGAAGGCCTGATCTTGAAGTCGCGTCGACGCACGCCAATCTGGGTGGGGCGGTGTTCACGATTTAGTTGCTGCAGAGCTTGTCGTCGACTGGCGTATTGGGGCTCCTACCTGGAGTCAGTCCTGCGAAGAACCTCATAGGAGCCAGGTTCTTACCGCAAGCAGTCGCTCTAATTTAGGTTCGTGATTCGTCACCGCAACAGCAGGCTTACGGGATCCTTGCGGCCAATGGGTCTGTGCTGCATGAGAAACATCTGGTGAAACCGAGGAGAAGACCGCACAGAGAAGAGTTTAGTCCGCTGGGCAGCCAGTAGATTTGTATAATTAGCAGTTGGGGCTGGTCTGATGTTGATCGTCGAACAAGACATCGTATCGGACTAGACGCAGTTAGAAACATCCCAAGATCGGTGCATGGCTACTGACCTCGACGTCAGCGATACGTGCCACGCCTCTGACGCGCTGAAGAGCCACGAGAATTGAAGACAAAATGCTCGTGATTGAGGACCAAAAGAGCATCGCAAGCACAGAGAGAGCAAGCATCGAAAGAGTGATAGCGGCACTGGCGACAAATTAAGTGAGGCTGATAGCGGCGGAAGAGAGAACGGAAATACAATCTCTCGACCGCGGTCCCTTTTGTGGATTCTGGTCGTGTCTCATCTCATCCCCCTAAACGCGGGTCCGAAGCTAATGAGACATGGAAGCTGCGGTCTCTGTACCCGACCCGAAATGTCCTTTCTGCAGGGACACATTCGAGCACAGCAAACACAGTGGAGCGGCAGTGATGGTCACTTTAAATGCTTGTTAGCATAACGCTGGAAATCTGGAGCATTCGAAATGGTCTGAAGAGAAAACAACACGACATCTGACAACTGCCCGCCTGGTAACATGTGATCGCGTCCGAGTCCCTCAGCTCACCTGACGCGACTGATTCCCACGCTCTCCCCGCCTGCCGCAGTCTCCAGGTGCCGGACACTCCGCTCTGACCTCACATACGACAACAACGCCCTTGTTAGACCATATGCTCCCTCTTCCTGTAAACGTCGTCCTAGTCTCCTTGAGTCCTGGGATCCGCGTCATCCGACGACTTGTAGAAATTCCGTCATGGTCCTCGTCATACGATGCTTTCCTCCTGGTTGCAGCGTGGTGGGCCGTCGCTCTCCTCGCAGAACCCGCGCTGCGATTCTTCCTTCCTGTCCTCGTCGCCTCTGGGATCTCGTTGTGGGCATGGGGGCGCACGGGAGCAACGTCGATCGCGCGCGCCTCTGAACGAACAATTCAAGCGGTTGTCACCGACCTGACCGCCATTGAGAGTCTTCTCCCTGCTGTCCCAGTGCTATCGCCTCGGCTCCGAAACCCCAAAGTCCTATTTCATGCTGCACTCATATTCTACGTGCCCTACCTGGTCCTCATCTACTTGTTCCGCCTACGCGTCTTGGTGGCCCTGTGCGGCACGATCATTCTCACCTGGCGAGCCCCTTGGGTCAGTGCGCTGCGAAAACTTCTCTGGAAGAGTGCCTGGTTTCGATGGACCGTATACTATGCGACAGCTAAAGTAACCGGCGAGCCACTTCCTTTCGCATACCAATCTTCCGCGAAGTCCGTCGCCTCCGCCTCTGTTTCCTCAGCCAAGTCTCTCCGGTTTCTTTTCACGGTGTACGAGAACCAAAGGTGGTGGATGGGTCTGGACTGGACCGCAGCACTCCTTCCCGGCGAACGGCCCTCGTGGTGCACTCACTCGCAGGCGCCCGTGTCTCCGCCGAGCGCATTCCTTCTTCCGGACAACACAACTATCGTGCTACCCCATCCGGATGGAAAGGGCCGCATCAAACGCTGTGCTCGCTGGTCGTGGGAAGAAGACGAATGGCGTGTGCTGATCCGACGGGAGGGTGCGTCAGGCCCTTCACGGGTCGAGAAGCCGTTGCCCAGCGAGAAGGAGGAGAATGCTGGCCTTCTTGCCAAAGCGGCTGCCAAGATGCGTGAGCCGTCGACACATCCGCCCCCGTCAGAAGACCATTCACATTCGGAAACGGACAAGACGAGTGCTAGTGAGGAAGAGGAGGAGGAGCTGACGACCGACGAGGATGGATGGGTGTACGAGGATAATAAATGGGAGAAACCCAGCGCGAAGGGCGGCATGGGCAAGGTGCGTTCTCATCTGGAGCATCGAGGAGCCAGATCATTGACACATTTCTGCAGTACACACGATTCCGCAGGTGGACCAGAGTGGCAGTGGTCACCGAAACAGTGGAACCAGCAGCAGAAAACGAAGAGGATGTGCTGCCGAAGCCTCCACTGCATGATCCTGTCCCAATGCCGCGTTCAGAGAGTCCGGAATCCGAGAAATCTCGAGACGGGAGCCCGTTGAGGCAACGACTGAAGAATGTGATGCACAAAGCGGCACCTAGCACGCTATGATTGTAATATCACTCCGCCTCGTCCAATGCCTGATACAGAGCTTCCTCTACCTTCCGATATACCTCGTTGTATTTCTTGTCGGAGCCTGGCAGCAGCTGGGTGCCCATCACAACTGCGATTCCACTGCTTGGGTCCAGGAAGAAGCTCGTCATGGCCAGTCCACCCCCTGCAATGATGTCAGCCGTCGAACGCACAAACCTGGTAAATCACCGTGACTCACATGCTCCGGATCCCTTTCTGCGTCGCCCGGGAATATCCTCCGTGTTGAGCAGCAGCCCACGACTGAATTGTGCCGCGTTGTCTGGCCACCCGAGATGTTCATTAACCTGCACACCTACGCTCACGATCTCGGCTGCCAGCGGAGGCAGGGTTGGTGCGAACATCTGATCAACGGAGGTCGGAGCAAGTATCCCGTTGTGGATCCGCCGGGCTGCAGAGAAGCGGTTCAGGACAGGGTGATGAGAGATAGGCAGGTGATGACTCCAGACTTTTGATACGCAGCAGGTGTCTTAGCATCGTAAGGTAGTCCTTCTGGGATAAATAGAGACCCGCAGAACCAAGATGGATGTTCACTGCAAACTATAAATCACGTTCTGAGACTTAAACGAGGAGCATAATCACCCCGACCGGTTTCACGATCACAGGAAAGCAGCGGGTCTTTCGTGTATCTCGTTATCCCTCCAGCTGCGTCTCGCCCATGCATCGGAAAGAGCCGCGATCGAAGGTCCGAAGTGAGATGGAACGAAGCCGATGTGATCCCCAGTGGCGAAAATATGTGGTCTTTGCTGTGAGAGGGATTCAGATCCCGTGCGTAGTTAGATTTGGACCACCTGGAGCGCACAAATACTGTTCCAGCGTCTTGCCACTGATCTTTTCGACAATGAAACCTGCGGAGTCTGTCGAAAGACCATATGCGACTAGGGCACCGCGTTCTTGAATAACGAATTCAGGGAGAAGCGGGATGCGAACATACAATTTGTGCCCGGTTCGTGTCTGAGAGGCACGCCAGGGAATGCACCCGATCCTTTCACCAGATCATAGTACTTGGAGACGGGATCAACTTCGTGTGCATAGTCATATCCTGTCGGTCTCAAAAGCGCTTCACGGTGATCCAGGTAAGAAGATATTCGGATCGAAAACAGCGGTTGCACAAACCGGCAGGATTTAGTTCCGATTTCGGTGCATAGATGGTGCTATCCATTCCGCTCGTATGGTTAAGCAACTGCCCCACTGTGATCTTGGAGCTGGCGGGGACGTATGTCCGATTTCCTTGCGAGTCGCGTCCAGTGAGGACGACGGGGTTCGCTAGTTCTGGGATGATTTCTTCGGCGTTCGTAGACAGCGAGAGTTTTCTCTGTTCGATCAACTGGAGGACAGCGATCTGTGTGAGGGGTTCAGAAACGCTCTACACTCGGAGGTACCGAAGCAAGAAATGAATGGAAATTGAAACGAATTCACGGAGGATGACATGGACGTAGCAGTACGTACAGTCGTCACAAGCTTGGTCTGACTGAATGCTGCAAACACTGCATCCTCGTCGAGCGGCCTACTTGAAGGATCGTCGAACCATCTATTTCCGACGGTTTTGAGGTAGAGCGGGCGATCCGCATCGGTTACACCAAGGAACAGGGCAGGAACAATCTTGCTTTCCACGGCTTCAGTCTGCGCATCCGCTCGTCAGCTGCTTCGAGTAACACAGTGAGAGTGAGGAATTTCACGAGGATTGACTCGAGACGAGCTTTGTGGGCTTCGGATAACTGGGGCATGGGGTGACGCGACGATGGGGTTAGAGAGATGATCAGAGGTCCCTTGATCTTATCTCGAGGAACGAAGGGATCGAGATCTTATCACGGATCAGGCTTTAATGCCGTGGATCATAGGGGGGCATGATACTTGAGCAGGGGCTCTTTTCTCAAAAGGGAGGATTCCAGAAAAAGTTCGAAACCATTCTCATACGAGGTTTCAGCTATGAGGTCAACTTCCGCTCTGGAGCCCTTGTCGTTGGCAATTCAAGCGACGTAGTAAACCAAGAAAGAGCAAAGGAGTGAACCCGCAGTGTCGACCACGTAGATGCGCTTGTCCACGCCCCTCGAGTAACAACGAAATAGCCCCAGATTTAGTTGTCCGAAAATAGCTTGGTCAGGCCAGCATTGAGTGTTTGGGCATGTGGAACCTCGCGACGTTCCCTCAACCTTGACGCAAAAGTCGTGGCTCAATCCGGGTCAGCTCGGCACCAAGTGCTTGAGCATCGTAAGCTCAGGTGCATGCCCAGCCGAAGTGCATAGAATTCAAGGGGAGAGGGGGAATTATGGGTCCGAGATACATTCGTCGTGATGGTGGTTCGACGCAGGACGCTCTATCATAGCTGTATTTTTGCAGTCCGTCAACGAACCTCACTTCTGAGCGTTCATTATCTCTGTGCCACTTCAGAGAATGTCGGAGTAGTATGTGTAAGCTACGCACCTGCATTCATCTCTGCGAAACGCGCGCTGACACGCTCCGAATGCTTCATAAACTTCTCGGCGCAGTTGTTCACGCATGTCTCCTGCAAGAATGGTCATTGGGGACGTCACAGCAGCTCTGAGAAGCGATATACCTCCTTGGAGGAAAGCGTCTTGCTTGTGAAATCATTGCAGCATGTCATGAAGCACCTCTCCACCAGTTTGCCGTACATCGTGAGGAAGCCTTGAAACTATGAACCGTCAGCCCTAGACCTTCTAACGCGGAAGAGATTGAGGTTCACTTGTCGCTTTTCAACGAGCTTGTTCACATGAGCCTGCTCTGCGCTTGAAAGACCGGAAAAATCCATGGATGCGTAAAATGAAGAGGAAAGCAGGCTTTGATGGCGGTTTCTGATCGTCGGCAAATTCCGATCCCGTCCTACTAGTAACTTATGACTCAACTTGTAGAGCAGGTCTTTTCTCTCTGCATCCAGACCTGCGTCCACACACGTGCAGTACTCTGTCGTGACTCCAAACTTAAACTCGTAGCTCTCTTCAGTACTGTCGACGCTCGTATACATCATGCATAAGACTGCAGGTATACCGGACCGTTCCCTCCATTTGGTCAGGCTCGTGCTCAGCGTCTCCCAGATCTGAACATGGCGATGTCCTTCAAGGACGCTCTCTCTAGACTTGAGAACAGTCGCGTCAAGTCGACACGTCCACTCATCCCGCCTCAAATCTTGCAAGAGGATCTGCCATTGCACGTTCCATCTACACCGACGTGTACTATCATTGAACGCGTATTAGGACGCTACTGGCTGCGCACACTGTGCTCCAGGGTCGTTTGGAAATCGAAAACATCCTGAAAGGAGACGACGATCGACTGTTGGTGGTGGTTGGACCGTGCTCGGTGCACAATCCTGAAGCTGCGATGGAGTATGCCAAGCTGTTGAAGCAATACGCGGATTCCGCCAAAGAGGATCTGGTCATCGTCATGCGTGTATACTTTGAGAAGCCCAGGACCACCGTAGGGTGGAAGGTGCGTTTGAAGTGCCCACGTTTAGCGAATTGGCGCCAAAGGAATGCAGGGTCTCATCAACGATCCCGACCTTAAAGGCAGCTTCCAAATCAACAAAGGTCTCCGCATAGCCCGCACTCTGTTACTCGATATCGCCAAGCTCGGTCTTCCTGCTGGGTGTGAGTTCCTGGACACCATCTCGCCTCAGGTAGGAACGCGCATCCTGCATCTTCAGTATCGGATAATCTTGACGTGATTTCTCTAGTACACTGCCGATCTCGTGTCATGGGGCGCCATCGGTGCTCGGACAACCGAGTCGCAGGTGCACCGCGAGCTGACATCGGCACTGTCCATGCCTACCGGGTTCAAAAACTCCACCGACGGGAGCGTGGGGATCGCAATTGATGCATGTCGCGCAGCGAAATCAGGACATGTCTTCCTCAGTGTCGGGTATGTGGTAGCAGCCTCCCCGTCGCGCATTCATTCAGGTCCCCTTCCACAGCAAAGAAGGATTGAGTTCGATCATCGAGACGGAGGTGCGTAACTACAGCTGATGCAGAGGATCGTATTGACAGAAATCTCAGGGGAATCCTTTTGTCCATGTCATTCTGCGAGGTGGGGCATCCGGCCCGAATTACCAAAGTGATTTCGTCCGGGATGCTGGCCAAAAACTACAAAAAGGGGGTGTTGTGCAAAAGATCATGGTCGGTCTCATTTGACAGGTGTCTCCAAATCATTGTTTCTGACTGAGAAACAGATTGACTGCAGCCACGGCAATAGCTCTAAGCAGCATCAGAAACAAGTGGAAGTAGCAGATGATATCGTAAGGACTGCCCGTTCATTGCCGCTCATGTTATCACGTTCTGCGGCAGGCTCGTCAGTTGGTGGCCGGAGACACCGGCTCTCTGATCATGGGTGTCATGGTTGAATCGAACCTTGTCGAAGGACGGCAGGATATTCCTACCAATGGAGTAGGCAGCCTGCGGTATGGCCAATCGGTGACTGACGCGTGCATCTCCTGGGAGACCACGGTCCCTCTTTTGGAAAGGCTTCGTGAAGGTGTGCGCGGACGCCGCGCTTCGTCTAGACAGAACACATCAGCCTGATTTGTATTCAAAATGAACGAACAGCGATGCATAACGGTGCAGTCCGTTTGCCTTCGGGCTGACATACTTGCCCGTCTCCGAGCTGGATTTCATGGAGCGATCGAGCCCAACTGTCCCGAACGGACCAGAGGATAAGACGCGAGGCCAATGACATTATAAGGCCAAGGTTAAAGCAGCCGGTGCCGAGAGGATGTCCTGAAAATCGGGGTTTTGTGGGGAATTTTGTCATTCAGATTACGACATAATTCGTTTTATTCCAGCAATCAAAAATGACTCTCCTGAGGCATCTCAAGTGCGTCCCATGAGTGTCCCGAACACCCCCGCGCGCGCGGACACAATCCGAAGCATCACCAGTGATAGTGACGAATCAAGTCTCCACTCTCTCGAAGCCAACGTCTCGATCGGCCACTTCGTAGCCGAAACCGAGGCATTCGAGCAAGTCCTTGCGGAGCACGCAGGGTACAGCGAGCAGACCGATAAGGGCGCCTTTGATGATCTTGTTGGGAAGCATCTCACAGCTTCGGAACGCGCAGCTGCCCGGCATGCCGTCAAGCTCGCACAAAGAGGACCCGAACCGGAATGGACTCCTACTTCCTCTTCTTCTTCTTTGACCAACACCATCGTTGAAGAGCCCGAGTCTTATTCCGAAGGGCCGGACACCGATGTCGCTCCCACGGCTGACTCGGAAAGTGATGACGCGTCTTCAACTGACTGCGACATCCCCCCTCCTACGCTCTACCGCTCAGGAACTCAGGATTCGGATATTTGGAGGCTCGAGCCGGAGGAGATCGTGCGGCTGCTGGTCGAAGAGTTTGGCCCCCTGGCTGCGGACGGTGTGGAGGAAAAGCTGATACTGGAAGCGGATGGCGGGCTCGTGAAAGACATATCGATTGTCGGGGTGATCCACCTGACGACGCATCGGGTGGCGTTCCACGCGTCGCTGCTCGCCACGCTTCCCACCCAGATCGACAGGGTGATCAAGGCGGGGACAGTAGTCGTGCACCGCAAGGGCTGGCACGCCAAGCGTCGGCTTTGGCTCGAATTGTCGCCGGACATGGTCTGCACGTATGCATCTAGCAAAGAAGCCGACAGAATCCGACCGATACGTTCCGTTCTGTGTAAGCTGACTGTCGTATTGCTCGACGGTACATTCTCATTCTGTCTTTCTAGTGTCTGCGATCCACAGAATCGTGCCTAAGGACCCTAAACAGCCGAAATATGTTCGCATAATCTTCGAGACAAGCGATTTTTTGGACAAGGGCGACGCCAAGCCTCGTATGACTGGTGTACTGGAGTTTGATACGGAGGAAGCTGCGATCGACTGGAGGAAGGAGATGGCGGGTGCGTGACTGAGACGTGTTATCTGGAACAGCGTTGAAACAGACTATGCAGCGGCCGTTTTCTTGTATCGCCACCGGAAACGGGAGGCTCTGGGTGGCGCCGATGTCGACAATGGGATTCGATTCAGTTGTCCGCTCGGACGCATCGAATCTGTATCATTCCTGGACGAGGCCACCCCATCCTTGGCGTCGCTCGTCATTCCCTCGGACTCGGATGAGCTTCCCGAAAAAGGTACCACTGTCCGCATGGGGACTCTCTATTCAGCGCCGCCCTGGCAAGATCTACCGAAGCATGTGGCAACCTACAAAGCCAGAAGTGGCGATCATCCGCAGGCACCTGTCTTTTGCGACATGGGGCCCCTTGCGTTCTCAGATGCGGAAAATGATGTGGAGGGAGTAGATCTCCAAGAGAAGAGGATTCGGTCGGTTCTGGCACTGGGAGCTGAGAAGAGTCTTTGGAGTCAGTCCGTCACCAACTGCGATTACATTTCTCCTGATCTATGCGCAGTTGTTCGTGCCAGTGTCTATCGCAGTATAGCTTCCTCCGGATTTTTTGTCATCTCCGACCATTACGTGTCGTTCTGGTGCAGATCACTCGCGCAGGATGACCTCCAGTACCGACTGCCGTTTTCCATGGTCCGCAAGGCGAGGGAGTTCAGCTCATTCGGAGCCTGTTCTTTTGGACTCGCGCTCGAGCTTGAGGGCCACGACGATCTGCGGTTTGTATTCAGAGCGGACAAGACGCGTCAGGACGCCCTAAAGCGCATCAACACCATCTCACAGACTCCCACTCGATCTGGGTCAAACACGCCGGTTTCACCCACTCCGCTGACAAGATCGGCGACGACGATTCTCTCTCCTATAGAGCGGTCTATGGCAGCCGTAGTCGCCCGAGGCACCAACCGCAAGGTCGTCGACACTCTCCCCAAAGCAATCAACATGCCGCGCGAGCTGCTGACCAAGCAGCCACCCAAGCACTTCGTTTGTTTGACGATCGGGTCGCGGGGAGATGTCCAGCCGTATATCGCTCTCGGACTGGGTCTCATGAAAGAAGGCCATTCGGTCACCATCGTTACCCACGACGAATACAAAGCGTGGATAGAGGGCTTTGGAATCAAGCACAAACAAGCAGGTGGTGACCCGGGGCTCTGATGAAACTGAGGTGTGCAGTCTGACATGACGTCTGGTTCTCCGCTAACTTTTGATAGTGTAGAGAACAAGGTGCTATCGTCCTTCCTGTCGTTGAGTGGCGGCGTCCTTATCATTCAACTCAAACCAGATGTTTTCGCCCGAGTTTTTCAAGCAGAGTTTGCAAAACGTGAGCCTCCGTTCAGCTCTCTCTGCGTCGACTGACTGAAGATGATGTAGTTCCGCCCATGGCTTGACCAATGTGAGTCGCGCTGTCCATATCACGCTCACTTCACCCACATCATTCCCAGTATTACTCGATTCCTGGGAGTCGTGCCAAGGCGCGGATGTACTTCTTGAATCTCCGTCGACGATGAGCGGAGTTCACATTGCAGAGGCTCTCAGTGAGTCTTTTTGTCGGAGTTCATTGCCCCGGACTGACAAGTCATCTCAGATATACCCTACTTCCGTACTTTCACCATGCCTTGGACCAAGTACGGTTGTGCTCTGCCATTCGGATGTTGCTTTTGACCTGCGGATTGACAGGACGTCCGACTTTCCTCATGCATTCCTCAGTCCGCCAGTCGACGCCCCTACATTCAATAGCGCTTCGTGAGTGGCGATGCTTTGACTGGGCCCTTGATTAACTTTCTGGTCAGATATGTGCTATTCACGTAAGACTTGATCGTTTACAGGTCTCTTCGTTTTTTGCTGATTCAGGATAGTAATGTCATGTGGGCGGCGACATCGGGGCAAATCAACCGCTGGCGGCGGCAGACTCTCAAGATTGGAAACACGGACATGAACCATCTTGCGCAATCGAAGATTCCCTTCATCTACAACTTTTCGCCAGCAGTGGTCCCGAAACCTCTGGACTGGAGTGACTCGATTACAGTCACTGGATAGTAATTCTCTCCGTTTCGGGCCATTTGTCTTGGTTTGCTGATGGGTTTTCTCTCTAGCTGGTTTCTAGACAACCCTGAGGGTGTCAATTGGACGCCCCCCCAAGATCTCGTCGATTGGATGGCCCAGGCGCGGAAGGACGGCAAGCCCATCGTTTACATCGGATTCGGATCGATCACAGTTCCGCATCCGAACAAGACCACGGCGCGGATCGTCAAGGCTGTTCTCGAGAGTACGAGCGTCTCCTGCTGCCCGATTTTTACCCGGGACTGATTTTGCGCGGCAGGCGATGTGCGGGCGATCATCTCCAAGGGCTGGTCGGCCCGGATGAGCAAAGTGGACAAGGATCCCGAGGTGGTGATGCCCCCGCAGTGTTATGAGCTGGAGAAGATCCCGCATGACTGGCTGTTCCCCAAGATAGACGCCGCTGTGCATCACGGCGGTGCGGGCACCACGGGTGCTAGCCTAAGGGCGGGTATTCCCACGCTGATCAAGCCGTGGTTTGGAGACCAGTTCTTCTGGGCCAGTCGCGTCCAGAAGCTAGGCGTGAGTCATATCTGAATAACACTTGGGTTGCGGCTGACTCCAGTTCCGTACGTAGGCGGGATTGAAGATCTCCAGTTTGCACGGTCACGAGTTGGCTGACGCGTTGACGAAAGCTACGACCAGTCGGTCAGTGGCGGTCCTTGCCAGCATTTAGGCCATTCTCTGACTTGCTTGCAGGATCATGAAGGAGAAAGCTGCCGCAGTGGGCGAGAAGATTAGGGCCGAAGATGGCGTACACACTGCCATACATACCATTTACACTCTGTTACCCCGCGCTGGAGAGTACATCGAGAAGATCCGCGAGCATTAACGCGGTTGTTGTATGCAGTAGCATAGCACTAAATTAACCACTAATGTTGTAAGTTCATAGTTTTGCCTTAACCACCACTTTATTCAACCCGGAGATGATCTCTTCAACCTCTGTCTCAAGCCGGCTGAGCAGCGCTTCGCAGGTGGGAATGTCGGTGATCAGCCCCATGCAAATGCCGGCAGACCAGATGCCGTAGTCGGGATCCCCGTTCTCGTACACCACTTTGCCCCTTTGGCCGCTGACCAGTTCGCGCACCTGCCAGAAGCATTAGTCGACCGGGTTCATGCTCGACATCGACCTCTTACATCCTCAAATTTGGCTCCCCCCGGGCGCCGCTCGATCTTGACGACCTCGGTCGAGACTTTGTTCTTGAATACACGGGCGGTGTTGTGCAGAGTGCGGAAGATATGGACTGTGTCTTGCTCTGACGAATCCACTATCTTCTTCTTGATGTTCTCATGGATTGGGCTTCGTGTCAGAGATCAGAGTCTGGCCAGTCGAAGAAGAATGATCGAATGCACCTCTCAACTGTGCACATGAATCGTGTGCCTGTCCCATGTCAATTTGCTGTCCGATTCTCAGCGCTGAGCACATACCCATGTTGACGCCCTGCAGTCTAATGTCAGTGACTTCTACACAATTCTGTCGAAATGACATACCGAGGCACCCAGAGCTAGTGGTCGTATAATGTAAATCATCCAGGCAGCAACAGCTCTTTGGAGGATTTCACACACCCAAAGCTGCTGCTATTCCACGAGCATCTGCAATTCCTCCGGAAGCAATGTAGGGGATGTCCAGTTCCTTAGCAGCTCGCGCAAGCTACAAACTAGAGTAAATGCCAATTGAGAGGAGAAAATACAGACAGCGCACGAGAACGAGCCCTCCGATATCCTCTTCTCCGGGATGTCCTGCACCTGAGCAATCGTTAGATCGGACAAAAGAGCGCATCAGAGCAGCACCGACATTCGAACCCGTCAATGCTCAACATGTCCACGCCGTGCTTTGCAGCACTCTGTAGGGAGAGATCTCAGCCTGAACAAAGATCCGCCAGAACTTCGTATCTACCTTGGCATGCCTTATTGTCGTGCATTTGTGAATGACAATGCTTCCATGAGATTTCACGAATTTGATCACCGCTCCGGCTGGTTCCTATCAGCCCAGCAGGTGCATACAATGGAAACGGGTGCGCACGACTGTTTCCGGCGGTCTCGAAGATGCGAATGCCTTCTTCGATGGCAACTCGCGCGTACCCGACGTAGTCGGGAGGCGTGATCGAGGGAAGGAGCGTGATGTTCACTCCAAAGTTTTTGGAAGTCAAGCGTTTGGTTTCCCGGATGGCAGTCCGGAGGGCCTCGGGACTCGGTTGAGTCAAAGCGGTGAGTATACCTGACAACAGCCAGTCAGTAAATGGATATCACCATGGACCGACCAATGCCAATGCATACCCAATCCTCCTGCGTTGGAAACTGCTGCCGCTAATTGAGGAAGCCCAACCCATTGCATACCGCCCTGGACGACAGGTCTACGATCATGACGGGATGTCAGAGGCAGGCGCAGGAAAACATCGCGATTGTACGCCACTTACACGCGTATATTCAAGAGTTTGGTCGCTGCAGTTACGATAGGCATGTTGAGCGGTGGGTAATGGATGGGAAGTGAGTGAGGAGAGTGACCCCGGAATAACCGGCAGGTAATGGCGAGAGATCAGACATGTGATAGTAGAGGGGAGATTTGATGATGCCAACATGGGCGTGGCGAGCGTGATGTCACATCTTCATCACAACGGCACACACGTGATCGCGTGTTGAACGCGTTGCCGACCGCCGGCCGATAAGTTGCTCTTTCTGACTGCCTCGTGTTGGTTCTCGTCAACCCTCGCTCTGTTTATTCGCTCGTGTCTCTGCTTTCACTTTGCTGTCGCTGCTATCGTGTTTTCGCTCCCATGGCCTCAATAGCCACTCCCCCTCCTCCGTCACCTTCCCCTCCACCCTCATCATCGTCGCCCGGTCCCCCATCGCCTCCGACCCCGTCGTCGTCGCCGTCCTCAGATGATTCAGAACTCATCGAGGATCTCTCTTTCGATTATATCTTCGACGACAATGGACATTACGTGCGCATGTCGAAGGGCCCGTCGAAGAGCAATCGCGAGTCCAACAGCAGTGGCAGTCCCGCAACGCCAGAAGAGAGGACCTTCGGAATGACCGCAGTGCAGCTCGACAACGACTCGGCCGCTGTCAAGCCCCCCTCTCCCCTCCCTTCACTTGCCATCGCCTCCGCTCACGCCCGACGCTCGAGTCTCTCTAGAAGCGAGAGCTACTCCGCGCCATCCAGTGGAGCGTCTTTGTCTCTGCCCGCCACCGGTCAGGCGTCCTCATCACATTCCCAAGCTCGGTCGTTTCAGCGCGTTGCCTCTGTTCCCGTTACCCTCTCCACCACTCCGGGACACAGCGCATCCGCCACGCGGGCCATGCGGCCGCTCGCCCGTCGCGTGCAGGCAATAGAGGACAAAGACCAAATTCACCAGGAGGAGAAAGAGAACGTCGGAGAACACCCGGTGTCGTTTCCACCCCCATCTGCGTCAGATGCCGCCGATGAATTCGCCTACGCCGCGGTGTCGACGCCTGGCGCGTCTGGCACGAAGTTGCAGGGACCGTCACGTGTTGTTCCTAATCGCAGTCGCGTAGATGCGTACTCGTCCAGATCACAGGTGTCGGGGATACAGCGGATGCAGGCCGGAACACAAAGAACGACGTCAAGATTAGGGGCAACGCGGTCGGTAGGACGGGTCGAGCCTATCAGGGTGCCAGAGCCGGCAGTGGAGGATACAGATACGGGTGTGTGGCGTTCTTCTTATATCTTTGTTTCATCCTAAACAATAGGATAGACGACGAGCCTCCAGCTCCTTACCAGCCGACTTCGGACGCGTTGTCACGCTCTCGTTCGCGTGGTTCTGGATCTCTTGGACAATCTGGAGGTGTTCGGCCCAGACGGTCCGCCAGTCTCAGCGATGCCCTCAGTAAGTAGGAATTGCCATTCTCGTTTGCTTCTTATCAATTCCTTCCATAGCCAACGAAGACGACGGGCCCTACTACCCTAATCCGACTCACTACCAAGGGCAATCGAGTTCAAGACCGACTACCAGCCTTGGTTTCGCCACTTCAGATGCTGGTGGGGATGGCCCGCGGAGAGTGATGATGGATGAACGTGAGAGAGCGTCAGTTGAAGCTTTGACAATTCAGAAGAGTGAGCAAATACGGCTATTCTATCAGCGAGGGGTTCTCAATCGTTTTCCCTAGAGCATGCAAATTCAGGTCGCTTAGACGACGTGCAACACGATCAGCTCCAGACGAACGATCCACACCAGCGGCAATCACCCTCTCCAACACATGGCCGACCCTCCCGTTTTACACACAAGCGCCGAGACTCAGATACCTTACGTTCGGTGCCTAATGTTGCGAGCGTTTCTCCGTCAGGCAGCAGTATGCCAGGCTCCCGTCTGTCACCGACCGTCCGCAGTTTGTCATCTTCTGGGGTTAGCGCTGCAGCCGCTAAGCATCGACGAAGTGGCACTGCTCCCGAACAACCCACAACAAGCGGTATGCTTGGACCATCAGGGCCGTCATCGGCATTGGGCCGGACGTGGAGTGGCGAACGAGAGAGTTTGGGATGGGAGAACCAGCCGAGCAAGGAACGAGAGACAACCAGAGAACGAGAACGGCGGCCTCTGCAATTGACTCAACAGCAGCTAGAGGCACAACAGCACATCGAGGCACAACGACAGCAACTTCAGCAGCAGATACAGCAGCAACAGCAACTCCAGCAGCAGATACAACAGCAACAACAACAGCTTCTTCTTCAGCAGCAACAGCAAGCGACGCGCACCTTCGTGGTCAACAAAAAACCTTACGCGCGATTGGACATGATCGGGAAAGGGGGAACTTCACGCGTCTTTCGGGTGCTCAGTGGCGCAAATGAGCTATATGCAATCAAGCGCGTGTCGCTGGACAAGACAGACGCAGAAACGATGAACGGGTACATGAATGAAATCGCACTGCTCAAGCGGCTCGACGGGAATCAACGGATTATTCGGCTCATCGACTCGGAAGTCAAGCCTGGTCCAGGGGGAGGCAAGGGACATCTCTTCCTTGTCATGGAATGCGGTGAAATCGATCTTGCACGCTTGGTCAGCGAACAGGCGAAAGAGCCGTTGAATATGGTCTGGGTGGCTTATTACTGGCAACAGGTGAGGATCGATGCATGGAATTCTGGCCGGATATTGACTGTTCGCAGATGATGCAGGCTGTTCATGTCATACATGAGGAGAAGATTGTGCATTCTGATCTCAAGCCGGCCAACTTTGTGCTTGTCCGCGGCCAGATCAAACTGATTGACTTTGGGATTGCGAACGCTATTGCGAACGACACGACCAACATCCAACGCGACCACCAGGTTGGTCGACACTCCTCATGGTCTGATGACTGAACTGATCCAAATTCAGGTTGGGACTGTCAACTACATGAGCCCCGAGGCCATCGAACTGCCTGATGGCATGCGCCGCCTGAAAGTTGGACGTGCCAGCGATGTCTGGTCCCTGGGCTGTATTCTGTACCAGATGATCTACGGACACCCGCCATTCCAGCATCTGTCCGTGTATCAGAAGATGAAGGCCATCCCCGATGCGGAGTATGCGATTGACTTTCCGGAATACTCGACGCCGGTGGCCGCTGCGAAACCGGCCAGCCCTGCACTATGCACGCCCCCAAAAAAGCAAGAACATCTTCGCCGCAGGGTACGGCCCGATGTGATCGAGAGCATTAAAAGCTGTCTGCGCCGGAACCCAAAACAGCGAGCTCTGATCCCCGAGTTGCTGGAGCACGACTGGTTGTCTGTGAGAGACCGTGCGTGGCGTTTCTTCTCCTCTCGGTATTGCTGCATTCGGCTGACTGGAACACAGCGCCGTCCGCCAAAGACCTCCTTTCTGAGAAAGAGACTATTATCACACCATATTACATGGCCCAGCTGCTCCAGTATGGAATATCGCTCGGCCAAAACCCGAATACAGATTCAAGTAATGAAGCGCTGCTCAAAGAGGCTGAGGTGAGTTCCCTGCCAATCTCTGCTTCCAAGTTTCTGAGCCAGCCTGTCCACAGCGTCTTGTTGCAGAGCTTAAATCGGTGCAGAGTGGTGCATCTTGATCGTACATCTGTATTACCCAATTCGCATCATCACATGTTTCTCTTCCCTCCATGAACTTTCCGCATAATCTGTACACACATGTAACTTATTGACCAAGACTGTTTCATTATCCACGTGATCGCGTCCAAATTATCTCCTGCAGGACTTCGATTTGACTGCGATGATCGGGACATGTCACTTGTGGTCTTCTCTGGTTTCACGCTGGCTTGGACGTAACTACTACACCAACCCGGCCCTACGCCCTCGTCTCTTCTTCAGGAGGCTTTTCCCTGTGAGGGGCGGCCGCGCATCCTTTGTTCACGAGCCGTCGGACTTCGCAGTTGCCCCTGATAAAAAGCCTTGGCTCGATCCCCAGGCCTGACGCCTTGGTTTCCTTCGCAAGCCTCCACAATGGTCAAGCCCCAGCACCGTCCACTCGCTGCCTATCGCACACTCTCTTCGATTTGCGTGGTGCTTCTGCTGGCGGCGTGTGTGCTGTCCCTGCTCGTTGGACTCTCGCTGCCGATCATCAAGCCCGTGTATCTTTTGAGGTTCTACTCAATTACGTGAGCGCATTCCGTCCACTAGCACAGCGGATCAGCTGAGCTGACTCGCGGTTCGAGGTCCTCGCCGACGGATGTGGCGACGGAGTTGAGGTTCGGGGTCTGGGGCGTGTGTGCTACGAGGTGTGTAGATCGGACAGTGAAGTGTTCGGCCGCTCATGCAATACGCGCAGTGCCTTCAATCAGGTCTGTGTCCAACAATTTGAAGAATTGCATCAGGCCGTACTGACTGGGAGACGCAGCCAACTCTGCTTAGCAACACCGTAAGTTGACCAATGCTGGTTTTCTCTTAGCATATCGTTGACATCCTGTTTGTCTCTAGGGAGAGTGCTTCGGACCAAGACTGGGATATGCGATACCGGATTCTATCATCTCGCTGACCGGCATCTCTCCTGCTATCGTGCAAACTGTGCTGAAGGTGCTTCTGACTTTACTCGTCTTGCACTTGGTCGTCGCCGGGTTGTCCCTCATCACCCTGGTATCCTCCCTCTTCCTTGCATCGCACGCACTATCCATTCTGGCTTTGTTGCTTGCGGTCATTACTGCGCTGGTGAGCACAGGGGTGTTTGGGATCGACCTGGCGCTGGTCATCGTGGCCAAGTCGCAGATAGGCGCCATCAATACTGCGTCGCATCTGCAGTTTGCCATCCAGTGGGGCAATGCACCCTGGCTGGGTCTGGCTGCGACGGTGTTGACGTGGTTGTCGGTCATCGCGCTGTCGGCAAGGGCCTGTTACTGCTTTGGTGTCAGAAGGTGTGTAAAGTGTCCAAGGCATCCCTGGAGGATACAAGGCACTCATCGCACTACTCTTTTCAGACGTCACCACCACCATCATCACCACAGTCGATTCGCTAACGCGGAAGAGAAAGTGCTTACCCCCTAATGTGTTTTTGTATACCCAGTCTTACGAACGCTACGAAAAACATATCATGACAAAATATCACTGACTCGCAATCCCGCCAATGAAACACGGGTTTCTCAGTTCACAGGTATAGTCTTCTCGGTAGCCTTTCACTGTAGGGCATTGAGATTTGAGCTGCGCCGCGAATCCACGAACTGCGCTTCGCACCGCATCGGTGGACTAGAAAGCTATACACTTTCAGGACTTGGACGGACCGGTCAAGCGAATCAGTGTAGTGCCTGGCTTCTCGTTACCTTCCGCATCTTGGATTGGACATGTAAACTCCCTTGTGGTCACTTCAATGTCCATCATCAAGCGTCAATGACGAACGAGAGAGGACAGAAAAGAAAGAGCATAGACCAGAAATCAGAATCCCTCCCAGATCGTCACTATTTTACCTGTGGTTGCCGCAAAGGCCTTCATGTCTGCTGGAGTTGGTACAAAAGTCTTGCCTGCCTCAAGGCCGGGAACACAAATATCGCAGCCCGATCACAGTGGACATACTATTCTGTATCGCAAGGCCGAACATACCGGTGGACGAGATGATGGCACGTTTGGGATTTCCAGAATCCCGGCGGCAAAGTAGGTGCTTTGAGATATACAGGTCGGTTCAGCTTTTAGATCGGAGCTCTGAAGCAACCGAGACCAGAGAGACACGACCTTCCACAGCGACATCGCCTCAGTCACTTGATCAGCCGTTAAGTGTCCTCCTGTGGAACATAGTCTCGAACCTTATTGATACCGTGTGAATCAATTGCATGACGGGAAAGAACCGAGGACGCGAACGTCAGCACAAGCAAATAGCGTCGCACGTGTGGACGCCGTGTTCCCACGTGCAGCTTCACAGTTGATGATGGCATCATCCACGTCACGTAATTCTTTCTCACACTGTGAAGACACCGCCCTCAACCTTTTTGGTCGCTCCCTCAAGACACTTGCCGCCGCCGTTGCCGCCGACCAAACCCTAAAAATCGAAACATGCCTGGCGTACGCGACATCAGGTTCGACTTTCGCATCTGGCAGTCGACGCATCTTGACCCATGCCATCCTACAGTGCTGAGGCGTTTATCACCGCCTACGCTTCCCACTTGAAGCGGTCTGGAAAACTCGAAGTCCCGACATGGGTGGATATCGTCAAAACCGGCTCCTACAAGGAGCTTGCCCCGTATGACCCGGATTGGTTCTACGTCCGCTCTGGTGCGCAAGTTGACCTGTGATCTACGATAATGAAATGACGTCCGCCTAGCTGCCGTCGCACGGCACATATATCTGCGCAAAGACGTCGGAATCGGTGCCCTCACGAAGCTACACGGTGGACGCAACCGCCGCGGCAACCGTCCCTCACACCACGCCGACTCGTCCGCGTCCGTCCAGCGCAAAGTGTGCCAGGCACTTGAGAAGATCGGTGTGCTCGAACAGACCGAGAATGGTGGACGAAGGATCAGCCAGGACGGTCAGCGGGACTTGGACCGTATCGCAACTGCCGTTGTCGAGGCTGCGAAGGAGGAGGAAGATGAGGACGAGGAAGCCGAGGTTGAAGAGGACGATGAGTAAATGTTGGCCGTCTCTCTACCCACCCACTATGCCCTGCAGTTCTGTTCAATTCCATGGTATATGCAGCATGCGATGAAATTTCTCATTATCCAGCCCGTCTGGTGTTGTATTCCAGCATATGTCCATCAACCAACTACATCACAAAGACTCGACGCAGCCGATGATCTGTTGCTGCCTCACAGCACAACGGACACAATCTGGATTCCTGGAGCGCTTCGGCTATGCAGCTGATTCGATTAGGGGATGACAACTGGACGGATGAGCAGTCCTTACCTGGAACAGAACATATGTCCGCACGGTGGACAGGCGACAGAATGGGGATTGGTGTTTGAACAAATCGGACAGATGAACTTTCTGCTCCTTGTTTCGCCCTCGGAATCTTGCTCTTCGGAAGACTGCGATGAGCTTGAAGTGGAGCACTATACAACAGCAGTCATCAGCTGGGACCAACGAAGCGAATATGAAATTCTTGCTCACCATCTCACGAGAGGGGCCTGCAAGCTCATCGACATCTTCATAATCATACTCGTCGTACTCTTGCCAGGAACTGTCCGTATCCGAGTCGTCTGGCGGTGTATCTTCCTCCGGGTCAATCGAATCACTAAGTTGTCCCATCTCATCTTCCCATTCCAACTGTGCGACACATTCCACAACTTCTCCATCTGCATCTGAATCATCATCGGTGTCGTCGCGGTGGACAGCAGCGTGTTCGAGGTGCTTGTTAATCATGCGTAATTGTGACTACTAGGAAGGTGAAAACAAGAACTCACGTAGCGTAGACCACCTCCCGTCTTGAATTCGATGTCGCATGAACCACAATAATGATGATGAGGGGAGTATACAAGGTGCTATCGAATCATGCTTAAGATCTCTTCTGATGAAGCACCACTGAGACACAACCTACACCCCGGTAAACATTCTTGTTCAGGAATCGGCATTGGCAGTACTCGCATTCCGGATGCTGTGTCGATCTTTGTATGTGCATCTTCCTCTCTTCGATAGAGCAGAAGTACATGTCGCAAATAGCGCAGTAGCATTCAGTGCTCGTAGACATAGGAAGAGCAGTTAAGGAAGAGGAGCTAAATATTAGACAGGGGCAGATTGATCGGTTCTACTCTAGTAAGCCGCGATCTCGTGACCGCGTTCCACCTTACTCGAAGTCCATTCGCGATTCATGTCTACGCCAAGTTTGAGCCCTGCAGACATTCTCAGCTTCCAGTTCTCGTCCTGGTATCCTAAATTCTCGGCGATAACCATCAGATCCACTGTAATACGACCACTTCCTGCGGATTTCGTCGAATATCTACACTCAGACGGTGTCCATGTTCCCGAGGGATCGGATGACTTGTAGGTCGATCTATACCCCAAAAGGCCATCGTCTCATCTCTAGGCCCGCTGAGAGTACTTTGTCCGATGATGAAGAGGAATCTGAGAGTGATGAGGAAGACCGAGTCAGGTTTGCATTCCCCGAATTGGATGCTCAAATACGCGCAGTTGTCAAAGAATACGGATCGGTCTTTCCCAAGCTCAACTTCTCGTCGCCCAAGGTGAAGTAGAAAACATTCACCAGTATCCGGGGCACTAATTGTACCCAGGATGCAGCTTGGGTTCTGCCTGCCTCATCCCCTCTTAAATGCCACTCTCCCGCAGACATTTACATGCTGCTGAAATCTTCCGACTTTATAACACACGATATAACTCCAGACTCTGTCTTCGAAGGGTGTTCCACGAGCCCAGAACCCGGTACATATGCCCTCGAACTCGTGCTGAGGAAGTGGTTTCCTGTCGAACACAGTCGAGAACTTCGGTGCTTCGTGCGGCAGAACGAGCTGATAGGTGATGAATTTATGTACTCAATTCACAGACTACTGATGCCGCAGGACAAGGGATCTGCCAACGGGACACCAATTATTACGAGTTTCTGAACGATCCGGCCACACAAACTACCATTGTATCATCGGTTTTTGAACTTTGGGGGCAGAAGATTAGAGATGAGTGGCAGGGACCTCCTGATTGTATGTCATTTCCTCCACGCTGTCGCATAAAGGATATCGCTTTGACATCTTACCAGACGTCTTTGATTTCTTGCTCACCCGGGATCTTAAAAGGGGGCATGTTCTGGATTTTAATCCCTATGCTCCTCGAACCGATCCTCTTCTCTTCGAATACGAGGAGCTTCGTCGATCCGAAGGCAGCGAGCCTGAGTTCCGCATAGTTGATTCGAGATCCCATCCAGCAGCAACGAGAAACGCACCTGCACATCAGCATAACATGCTCCCTTTCGAGGCTCTGAGCCTGAGCAATGGCCAATCTATTGAGGAGTTCTCAGGAAAATGGAAGGAACAGATCGAAGAAAGCATCTCGAATTAGAGCAGCTCGCGCATTATCGATGTGTGATAAGATAATTCTTACTCTCCCAATCACGTGCTTGCATCAAACCCCGAAAAATTGAAATTCTAAGGCCTCAACCTTTCTCTCATGGCTGACGATCCGGCCAATTTTGCGAAGATGCTCGAGGCAGAGCTGCGGACACGTGTTTCCGACCTGATCAGGGACAATCCTAGTATGACGCCCAAGGAAGCGATGGTCCAAGCCTCCCAAGAACGTCTCACAAACAATCCATTTCAACCCCCACTGCACGGTTGTCCGATCAACACTCTGCCTCCAGAGCTTCTTGCTCATATCTTTGAGATTGGTCGGGCGATGGAGGAACAGGATGAGGATGATGACGGCTACGACGAAGGGGACGACTATGGAGATGACGAGGTTGACGATGAATGGACTGACGACGAGGATATTGAAGTGATCGACGAGGAAGTGGTGGAGGATGAAGACGTGGTCATGTCGAGTCCCAAGAAGCCGTTTTCCCCTCTAGAGGCGGTCGATCCCCCACAATCAGACTCCGGATCAGAAGAGGACGAGGAGGAGTTGCACCCGTCATTCCAGGTCCTTGTTAGCCACGTCTGCCGCCACTGGCGAGAGGTCTCTCTTGCTGCCCATACGTTGTGGACTACTCTCAAGTTCAATACGCACTTGAATCTCGATCGCGCCAAAACATACATCGAACGAGCAAATGGTCTACCTCTAGACATATTCATCGACTGCACACATGAGCACCAACCCGATCTGGATGATTTGGAGGAGCTCCCAGACTCGGAGATGCCGTCACAAACTGTGCCGCCCAATGCACACGCCGTCATTCTCAGCATGAATCCCGTCACAGGATCCGTCTCAGCCCTGGAACCATTGTCAACTCCGAAGGAAAGCGACATCTGCATCCCGCTTCCGGATCTCATCACTATCATCGAGCTGCTTACTCCACATGTGGAGCAATGGCGGATATTCGAAGTCACGGTCAAGTACTTCACCCATATGCACGAGGTGCTCAAACGCATCGCTCTTTTGCCCAGTGCGCCTCTACTGGTAGAAATGGGTTTGTACAATTACGAGGACTTTGACGAGGAGGATGCGGATGACGAATTCGAGACGTTCAAGCCTGCAGAGTTGCGCGAACCGCTGCTCCCGTTCGGGGGCAACGCACCGAAGCTGAAGAATGTCGCGTTCTGGGCCGTGCATATTGATTGGGATCAAGCTCTTGAAAAGGGTCTGCTCACAGGGCTGCACGAAATCGAGCTCGCGTATCATGCTAAAGACGTCCGGCCGTCGTTCGAGACATTCAAGGGTATGATCGATTCTTCGCCGCAACTCTCTCTGCTTTCAATGTGTCTTTCGGGAACTACCGGGGAGATGACCACGGTCGAATTGCCGTCTTTGCGATCGTTGGTCTTGTGTGTGCTGGAGGCCGAGTATGTCGCTCTTTTGGTGCAAGCGTTCGTCATGCCGCAGTTGCACGACCTCACTTTGGACCTCCACGACGAAGACTTCACCGACTTTGCGCTCCAACTTGCCGAGGCGCGCAGCGAGACGGAGGGGCGACGATCGCTGCTTTCCGGACTGACTGCACTAAAGTTAACAAGCTTCCCGTGCAACGACGCCGCTGCGGACAAGATGATGAGCCAGCTGGATTCGCTCGAGCGGTTCCAGCTCAACTGCGTCGATCCTCCGGAACGGGTCTTCGCCCTGGGTCTGATCAAAATTAAGGACAATGCGCCTCTCTACTGCCCGAAGCTGCAGGCTCTGCGAATTGAGGGGATCGGCCCCAACCAGCTCAAGAAGTTGATCTCTGCGCGCAAGTCAGTCGGTGCCCCGATTCGTAAGCTCTACCTCAGCACCCACGATGAATTGGAGGTTGCCCGCGAGCAATGGGTCCGGGATAACGTCGAGGAGTTCGATTACTTCGATCCTTCAGACGATGAAGTGGCGCTGGTAGACGACGACATGATGATAGAAGATGATGAAGGATCCGACGGGTCCGACGATTGGGATGGCTCCGACGAAGAATAAAACGTGCTACATGCTACATGGTATTATGTATATGCTATATATATATGCGACTAGATAGAGCTAATACAGTAAGCAGCGATAAGATACAAACGATGATGGTAAGTACAAATGTCAAGGTGGGACTGTGAGAGTCGAGCCCAAGCATACGTCTGGTAATTCATTGCACGCTCCGGCTGGAAAGTTGTCTCTGGGCATAGCAACAAAAAAAGCCACATTTAGCGTCTTCTTTGAAATATCACCAGACGCAAGAGACCTGACAGATCTTGACGAAAGCGATGCAGAAGGCTTCCATCTATCAGCGGGAACGGCTGATAGAGGCTGGGGAAACGTTTTAGCATGCAGAATGAGAGCACGGAATGGAAGTATACTCGCAGTTACATGCGCCCAAGCGAGAGGCGTCTGTTCCATCGGTATGAGCCACACATCGTGGAGCTGAGGTCGGCTTCCCAACGACAGCTCCCGAGAACCCTGTTCCGGCGGCGTGAGGACGAGGCCGTTGGCGAGAGCGTTCGAGATGTAGCGCCGGTACCGCTGGCGTACATAGCAAGCGCGCGTGATCACAGAACACGAAACGATGAGAAGTAGACCGAGCGTGGCCAGAAACGTGAAACTAGAACGTAATAAACGTCGATGTTTCTACACAGCAAGATGGCAGATGATCACTTGCAGGTATAGATTGGATCCCGGCGCATGTGAGACAGGTGCGGAGGAGCTCGATGCAGAGGGACTGGGAGAAAGGGAAGGCACAGACATGTCCTACTGCGCAACGGCGAGCGGTAATCGTCGCCAAGAGGAATGCAATGTGGGGTGACAATTGGGCCTTGAGGAGATTGAGGGGAGTGACAGAAAACCGATTCTGCCAAGTTTTCGGTTGTGGGAGAAAGATCCGTTGAGAAATGGGACCTGAGCAAATTACCGCATCAAGCGATGGCAACATCGCGATTTAAACGTCAATCTCCGCTTCTCTACAGTCGGCTCCCTTTCCTTTCTCCCACCATGAGTTCCGCCCTCACAGGTCTCCCCAACAGTCTCAACCTCCCGCCGCATCTGTCCGCACACAAGTACTTCCTCGTGTGCACGTTGACCGTCGCTGCGTGGGACACGCTTGTCCTTTCCCCTCGAACATGGCGGCTAATGCGCACGGGAGAATGGCCTATCCTCAAGATTCTCTTCCACTTCATGCGCGTCTTCATGCCAGTTGAATTTGCTGTCGTCGGTACGAACTTCCCTTATCAGACCGCCTTGCTTCTAAGCGCCTTCTCCCCAGCCGTAGCTTTCTTCGATACCAAATTGGCGCAAACCGTTCGTCGACCCGTGCATTCCTCCCTTTTGGTGCTTACTACTCTGCAGACGTGCCAAAAATTCTATCTCTTCGAACCCATTTGCACCGCGGTGTTGCTCGCTTGCACCTCTGGTGAGTGATAATTATTCGGAGCTCGGTGCATATCTGGATGAACTGGGACTCTAGCGGTCCATGTAATTCGCATCCACGGTATCTACGAGCGCAACCGGGGTGTTCTCGTGGGTATGGGTGCCCTTTTCGCTGCACAGATTGTCGTTACCGGAATCTGTTGTGCCTTCTACCGATGTACGCAAGCCTATCTCCCGAGTTGTTTGGCCACGCTCTCAACAGTTTCCAGCTGTCCCTCTCCTCGACGGACAAGGTTGTATCGCTGGCCCCAAGCACAACTGGGTTGGCATCTATTGGGTGGTGCCTACCATCTTGTACACCGCATCGGTCAGTTTTGTTCCGCAGTACGAGAACTGTTTCATGTTTACATATCTTTCACTAGGCTGTTTTGGCTTTGATGCGTTCCGTGAACTCGTTGCAGACAAAGCCGCTGAGCAGCTGGAAACTGATGCTCCGTGATGGACTGAATTTGTATGGGGTGCGTCTATCTGACTTGTGGATCACGAACTTTGCTTATTGATGGCAGGCTGTGTGGCTGGTCAACATGATCAACATGCTTTTCTGGTTTATCGTTAAACCCACGAACGATGCCGACCCGATCAAGACCATTGTCACAAGGTGCGCCACGCTGATTCTGTGAACGGCCGCCAGAGCTTGAACACATTGAACAGCATGACTGCCGTCCTTACGACATCGATGACTCTGCGCATCATCCTCGGCATCCGGGGCACCCTTGCCCAGGGCGGGTCGTTCGCCCTGAGCGCCACCTCTGCACCTTCGAATTCATCGCGTGCTACCCATGTGTTGTCGAACGGCCACAGCACTGGCCCGCACACTTATACTTTGGACGACATGCGCGGGGGTAAATCCGAAGGGCACGTCGGCTGGGGCGACTCCAAGGGTGGCGTTGTGAGCTCCCCCGGAGAAGACGACAAGGGCGTCGGAGAGTTCCCGATCGAGGAGCGCTCGGGCAGCCCCAATGGTGGTGTTGGTGTGAAAGTCACTATCGACCGCGAGGTCGGATACGACAGTCGCCCCTACGCCAAGTAAGCCATCGATATCTACCCCGCCATATCTACCCGGATATATGCACACTTCTACATTGTCTGTCTGTTGTACACCTGCCCGTGTGAGCTGATCTACTTGCTTGCTTTATAAATATCTATTGGGATCGTCGTTCGAGAAGACTTGTGGGCACGCACTGTCAGCTGAGTGAGCGATCGACCACGCATGGCTCCCACAAGGTTTCCACTCTGATTTCGTCCCGAGGCAGCGGGAGCGTATCACATGCCAGAAGACCTTCGGGGATCGCAAGAAGATCTGTGCACCAAATGTAGACAGACAGCGTCTCGTCACCCATGAGCTCGGGGCTGTCGTTGCATCAAAAACTGCTGCGAATACTGTCGCATTTGAATGATACTACAGTACAAACGATTCGACTTAGTCTGACTATCCGGGTCTCAGAGATTTGCATTCGTCTGATTAGATCCAAAGAGCTCCTGCAAGAAAGCCTGGTTGCTGGGTGGACGGCCCAAGAAGTCCTGGGAGAGATTGGTCGTCAGCGGCCTGTCGATGCATCTGATACCGTCCTACCTGCAACGAATCCAATTCCTCTCGGCTTCCGCCAGGCACGAGAATCTTCTTGCGATAGAGTTGACCTCGAGCGGGGTCAAGGGGGTCCCCTTTAAACACAGTGGCTGGGAAACGTCAGCAATGGGCGAGGTGCAGGTGTCCTTGTCAATTCCGCACCATACATGTCGGACGCAAACACAAGCGAGTACAGATATCCATAGTATCCTGCATCGTAGCCGCTGGCGATGTGGCCGAAGGAGGCTGGGCTCACTGTAAGAAAAGCAGGCCGAGAGGGACGGAAACGCGACCGACCTTGGCCAGGACAAGGCTTATCCGCCTTGACCAGAGAGATTTCCTCGCGCATCTTGTCCCACAACTGAGTGTAGTCTTCAGCCTCTGATGAAAGAGCGTGAGCAAGATGATGCAGGGTATATTTGCAAAGACTCACCTTGGTCAATGTGCACTTTGATATCAAATTTGGCGAAGAAAACCTGTCGGAGATACTGCAAGCCAACATTCACATAGCGGCTCTTGAGCAGTTTCGTAATCAGCTCTTCAGAAAGAGGTTCTTGCGTCTTGTAGTGGCTAGACATCTTCGACAGGACCTCCGGCTCCCAGCACCAGTTTTCCAACATTTGCGACGGTGCCTGGACTACTTTGAGAACGACAGGACTTGATGAAAAGCTGAATTGCGAACCTCAACAAAGTCGCGAGCAACCCTACGATAAATATAAGCTTCTCTTCGAAAATGAACAGTCAGATAGACCCACTTCGTCCCATGGAACCTCGCAAACTTGGTTTGCGAAAGCAGTCCTGGGATATTCGAGTTGATCGTCCGATAACCAACGCCCGCAAGATGTACGCACCGTGGAATACATGTCCCATCTCGTGGAACAGAGTAACCTACGATGGATTTTGTCACACGGGAGCCTGATGAGTAGAGCCGCAACATACGACATCGTCATGGCGCATCAACGCCGGTTTATCAGGTGTGGATTTGGCCAAGTTCGCGACCATGGCTGTGAGCGGGTAACTCCGAGATCCATCGGAGCGCGTGTAGCCCGAGAGAATAGACCAGACCGCTGCATGAGAATACTTTGCCTCTGCGAACCCATCAGCAGCCGAGGCGATGAATATCAAACGACTCGCCTCTGGGGAACAAATCGAGATAGCAGTACCCGACGAAGCCGCTGCCATCCTTGGCATCTTTCTCCCAGACGGAGAATTGTTGGACATCTGCGAGCAGTTCAGGAAACGAACATTGCTTGAGAGAAAAGACCTCTACCCGGATGCCATGTTTCGCCGGAAATCGTCTCAAACCGGACTCCGAGAAGGGTCTGGTAGATATCCAAGATCCGTGGAACGACGACGGATACGGGGAAGTATTCCTTGACGAGCATGTCATCCAGGTCCAGTGTTTCCTCTGTGAACTTCCGATCATAGTAACGGTAGTCCCAGATGTTGAAACTGCCGTCGAAGTCGAGCTGGCGTGCAGCGCAGTCCTTTTCCTTGAGAGCGAGCAGAACCTTCCTGTCATTGATTCCGAGAGGCTTGAGCTTGGACTCAAGGTCGTCAAGGAACTTGCGATAGTTCAAATGAGTCAAATTGGAGATGGATGGAACAAGAGCACTCACATCTTGAACGCCTTTGGCAGACTTGACCATTTTCGGTTCCGTACGGTATTCGGCCCAGTTCGCATAGCCCAGGGTTGAGGAGATCTTGCGCCTGAGAGCAAGGAAGCGTTCGGTGAGAGGTACATTGACTTCCAGTCGCGACTCGTGGCCTTGGTAAGCTCTCTTCCGTGTCTCCGGATTGTTGGCAAATTTGAACTGTATTTGAGTCAAAAGAAATCACGCAGCCGAGCGAGAAAGAGCTGACGATAGGGAAGATGTCCGGGGTTTTGTAAGTCACATCGTACAACTCGGTCTCTCCCTCGGTGCGCTTTTTGTAGCCGGAGATGACATCGGCCGGAACGCCTTCGAGCTCCTGCGCTGTAAACGAGATAACCCCCTAAAGTGTGCTCAGTCGTGGCTCGATGCTAGTTGCAAGAGTACTAACATTTTCCTCGTTGAAGTTTTTCTTTGAGACGAACTCAGTCTTTCACCTTTCGGACTCCAGATTTTCAACTCACCTCGAATTCGAGGCAGACCTGAGACAGCTCTTTCTGCAGTGCCTTCAAAGCGTCACGCTTGTCTTCAGGCAAATGCAAACCAGCACGCGTGCCATCGAGGATCTGGACGGTGTTCAATCGAAGCTCATGGGCCGCACACTACACATACCATCTTTTCAACCAGACGTTTGTCTTCAGCAGAAAGCTTGTCCCACGATCCCGACTCTTTAAGGTTCTTCTCGGCAGCAATCTTGGCCTGGAACACATCGATGCGCATGGAAGACTCGACGCCATATTCACGCAGGAGAGAGTCCGCTTCGACAGACGCGTCGCGAAGCTCCTTGGAAGGTGATACATTCTGATAGAATAAGAGAGGTTCCGTGACGACCTCGATTTGGGTGCCGGACGATTCGAGAGCGACCTTGATGTGTATTATATGAGCGGCAGACTCCGGGGTAGGACAGGCGGCTTGTAAGCACTCACAAAGACCTATAGGACAGATTCGATTGAAGATCAGGGCGGCTAGAAGCCAGATACAATCACGTACCGATTCGAAAGTGCAGTCCGCAGGTTTCAACGCGCCTACAGTGTCCTCGACAACGCGATCCTTCTCGATAGCCGCCTTCACCAGATCCAGCACATCTGCGGGACTGTGAGTCCACTTCGGGGGCGCTTGCGGTGGAGTGAGCATGGATTGCGTGACGGTGGGGAATAAGGTGGGAAGGGAAGTTGCTGTCCCGTGCCGGCGAAGGAAGGCTACAGCCGGATTGCGTATTGAGTTGGCAGCGAAGTTGAGACCATGAGTCCCGGCTTGAGCAAGGCCTGCAAATGAGAAAGAACGAGTGCTCAGGGCTGCGATGCCAGCAAAGGCTCCGCCCCACAATAGCAGTTGCGGGGAACGACTCAAAGCTTTCGGCCTTACAAGCCTAGCGGTCCCGGTGAGGAAGACCATGCAGCAGTTTTGACGACAACAAAGCCTGTGCGGTAAGGAAGGGTGGGTGATTAGCAATGCTTGCTTCCGCCGTTACACATGCCAATAAGCACTGTGCAAGTTGCAGTTTTTCTTCGCGACGCGTTCAACTTGAATACGTACTTGTGATTTGATTGTCACTATGGATGCCGACGTGCTGCCGAATGTATATCTAATCTACTCATGACAGTTTCCAGATCAAGACGCATTCATCCACCTCTCCTCCACCCTTGCTTTCTTCAATGGTGAGCTTCTCTACACGGGCGAACTCATTAGCATTCTATCAATGGTTTGTGTCGTAAAACACTGACTTCGCAGGCTTTCATCCTCGACGAACCCGAATTTCTGCCATAGTTTGTAGGATCCAAAGTTGGTGAGGAAGCACTGAGCGAGAATTTCAGTACATCCCATCTGAGGAATGGCCCATTGCTTCAGGAGAACATCAACTGCAGCAGATGCGATCCCCTTTCCATGATACTCGGCGTTGAGAGCCGCTGACCATCTGGTGAGCATGTGGAACCTAGAGACTGAACCGAACTGACCACCCATAGAAGTGACCCGGTGCGATCTCCACTCCTCCCAGTCGGGATTCACAGGCGTCTTGCGCACAAAACTAGGACCCATGTGACCGATCGTCACCTGCCCAACATAGACCTCGCTTCCGTCCGGCTTCTGTTCGCGTACCACATCGAAAGGAGAGTGCTCCGTCGGAACGAACCGTCCTTCGGCGTAATCGTTGAACAAAGCAACAATGAAACCCCGCTCCCGGACGAGCCAGCCTTGTGAGCCGCTGATGGGTGCAGGAAACGGGGGGCCAACCAGGGTGCGCGCGACGCGGATGTCACTCTGATCGATTCTGGTCAGTTGAGCTGTTCAAGTTCGTGATTCGATTGCATACATACCATCATGGCGCTATCGTGTGGAATATCCGACCGCCGCATCGCACCGAGATAGAAACGTTCGAAGGGTGCTGGGAGGGGAATGTATGGCTCCCCATCGTCGCGAAAACGGATAGGCGTGCGCTCGGCGGCCTGTTTCCTCAGTTCGGGGTCATCCACCACGAAGCGGTCGGGGAGATGCGCGGAACGATCCTCTGAAGGAGACGACATTGCGAACGGGGAACCTGATTGGTTTCAACATGGGCATGTTTTACGGTTTTATACTGTCCCCGACGCGTTCGTCGCGGAAATCGCAATATTTGTTCGGAAGAGGGAGTCACATTTCGGAGCCGATCAGATAAGACTGGCGACCTTTTGATCTCTCTAAATGATTATTGGAGTTTCTTGTGATAGTGAACTACGTGTCTACGGTCGCAAGCTTTGCCTCGGCCAATCGAACTCGTCTTGCTCGGCATCGCGGCCCAATATAGATCGAAAGGTATATTGATGGAATCATCAATGCAGCCAATCCGCCCAAGAGGAGGTATCCATAACCCGGCCCCAGAGCAGTCAGTAACGGCTGGATGCCCGAAACAAGTCCTGCACCTAGACTGCATCGGACGAGATTGTTCTGTCAGGCTTTCAGCTGAGGGAAAGGAATTGGGACAGAATTTGAACTCACACAAGCAGTTATGGCAGACCCGGAAGTGGGCATGAGATCCAGCATCATAGTTTGGGAAGAATTCATCACAAATATCACGACTAATCCAACTGTGGACCAAGGTAAGGGTCAATGTCAGACCGATGCGGGACTGGATATTACCTCCGACAAGCAGAACAAGTGGTCCGGCTATATGCGTTTTGGCTTCTATACACCAACCATAGCCGATAGAACAGCCCACGAACAGAGCTATGAGCAAGGGAAGCAGCCTGAGACGTGCCTGGAAAGTGGATGTCATGACAGCGCAAAACGGGTTGTTGGAGGCTGAGCTCACCTGCTCGATTGGGAAAGACTCTTCGTCTTTATCCGAGGTTTCTTCAGAAGACGACAAACTGCGCTTCACGCGCTGATAGTCCCAGTCTAGGATCCTACCACAGACCAAAGAGCCGATGACCATTCCCCCACCGATACCTGATGGGATAAGCCGGGGAAGAGTAGCAACCAATCGAGGACTCACTCAAAAAGCATAAACCCAACTCAATCTCATTCAATTGAGGATATGCGTCGTGGAAGACACTAGAGATGCTTGCTGTTACTCCATAAAAGACTGCGTAGATGATTCCATTCATGACAAGGAGCAGGACGATGTCGACGTTCAACAAGAGTTGTAGGGGGTTTTGGAACCTTTTGTGAGGCTGCTCAGAGACGGCAGATTCGAGCACGCGGCCGGATCGCCCGATGGAAGGAATGATAGGGTAGTATATCTTGGGTGGCGGGATGCTTCCGTTACCTACAATCGCACGAAGCGTCTCGGGTAAAAAGCTGCGCAGAGAGGAGAGAAGTGAGATTAACATAGAGTGAACCAAGAATTCGGCACGCACAGCATCAGGACGATCGCACATATAGAAGAGCAGATGCAAAGGAACCAGAAAATAGACCTGAGCAGCTTCAGGACACTCCAAAGATCAGACAAGAGCCTGAAACACGCACCTCCATCCTAACTTGTCTGCCAAAAGACCCCCGATCACTGGCCCAATAGCAGGGGCTATCTGAGCTCAAAGTGGTCAGCGCACTGGGTTAAGCAGCCACGATTGGCACACACCATCGGGCCAACACTGTACATCCCCAGAAATCCACCTCTCTCAGCCCGAGTGCTAATGTCACCGATAACACCAGCACCCAGCGCAACCGTGCTCGCAGACCCTGCCGCTTGAAAGCACCGCAAGAGTAAGAGGAGCCAATAGTCAGAGGTAGGCGTCAATGCGAGACCAACGCAGGAGATCGCGAGTAGGACCATGCATAAGATGAAGATGTGCCGACGGCCGATGGTATCTGCGAGCGTGCCCCAGAACATCGGTGCTGGTCCCATTCATTCAGCGAACAAGATTGGAGCAAGGGCGAGATGATCTTACTCAATCCTTGGAAAACCATGTTCAGAGTCACGGTCAGATTGATCAGCTCGATAGATTTGTTGAAAGCAGACGCTATCGTAGGAATGGCGGGGAAGTAGATGTTTGCTGCCAGCGGACTGCAGAGACGTTTTGTGAGCCTTGAGGAGACATAACAGGACGAGGAACCGCGCCTGAAGAACGCCCCGAATGCGCTTAGAGCTACGATGAACCATTTCTCTCGCACAGTGAAAACGCTGAATGGCTCTTCGACAGGGTGGGCCTGAACTGGTTTTGGAGTTCCGGACGATTGTACGCTCCCACTCTTCTCGAGATCTGGCGCGGTAGATGTCATAATGCGGATTCGGCTTCGAACATAGCTATTTGGGACGCTCTTTATATACAAGCCGACTCGGCCGCTCGCCGTTTTGCGGAGGGCAGACGGAGGAGGAGCACAAGGGACAATTCCGAGGGCATGTCATTCTAGATTACACATACTCGAGTATCCCAGATCAGAATAGCATCATTGTCAATCGGGTGACAATCGTGTGAAGCTCCCCACACGGTACACGTAAATGCACTTAGAAGTGCAATCTTTCCTTCCTTCCAATGTGTTTCTCCGGACGTTGGCTGACATCGATAACCGTCTCTCGGAAGGACCAGATGCCTGACTACATATAAACTAAGACAGAAAGGTCCAAAGTCCACATTTCTCACCCCCAATTAGCTCTGAGCCGACGTTTTTCCGCAACCCTTCGATGACTTCACGATACGTACGATGGAATGCGCACACACGCGTTAGCCTTGGGTTGTGGGCGCTGGCGGACTTTGCGTGTGCGAATCTGTTCGGTTGAGCGAGCCACAAGGGCTCAGGGTGCAACCAGATCATTGCGCGTCAAAAACACGAGGCAACGTGTGATTTCGTCCTTTCCTAAATCTCTTGACCGGCCCTATCGGGACGAGTTCCCCCAAACTTGGTTCCCCGGTGTGGGCCCCGAGCCAATAGCTGCGGCGCGTTATATCTTGTCCACGACTGCGAATTGCTGTCCCTCCAGTATCGCACCACTTCGCTCTCTCTCAATCCCAGCGACTGGATGCAGGCTTCATACTCGACAGGGACTTCAGTCAAGATCCACCAGGCCATTCGTATCGAATGGGCATCTTTCCAGGCATGGCTGGCTGAAGAGCGACTGAGGTTGAAGCAGCGCGAACACCATGTTCTCCTCGTATCCCAACGCAAACGGGGGAAGGCTCGGCTGGGAGAGAAGGAGGAGCTTGCGGCATTACACCAGGAATTTGTTGAGAAGGCGCGCAAGGAATGGTTGGCGCGCGTCGCTCGCAGTGAGCTGCACATGGAGCACTGGGTTATGACTCCCGACGAGAAAGCAGTGGTGAAGCAGAGTTTAGGCTGGACACAGTCAGAGATGATGGAGGCCTATGGAAGAGAGGTTGGATCGAAATATCAGCGAGTCAATCCGAACACGCTAGGCATGAAGGAGGCAAGAGAAAAGGTTTCGGAGGACACGAGGGGTTTTGCGGCCAGGGTGAGGGAACAGAGCCTCTATCCTGAAATGCATCTGATCCTTTGCACAGACCACGGAGTCCGCCGCGCCCGCATACGCGAATTGGGCAGCTGAACTTTCCAAGGCAGCAGGACCTTCAGGTGTACAGACTACCCCCCATACGATTCCTCGCTCGCTCAAGTCAGTTGAACCACCTCGCATGCCGCTGTACTTTGTCGGCGCCATACTTCAGGGCGGCGACCTAGATGCTGTCGCTGCATCACATCTTGAATCGCTCGCACTGCAGAAGAGCGAAGAAAAGATTCGGGAATATTACGTTGAAGCCTGCGAGGCTGCGATTCGCTTCCAGCGGACTCTGGCAACTATCAATCCGTCTCAGCGAGAGGCATCGCAGGATGAATTTGAACGCCGCATGCAGGATCTTGCGCGAAAGAAGGAAAGAGAGTGGAAGGACATGATCGTCAAGGAAGTCAGGAAACAACAGGCTATGGAACTGGAGAAGAGGGCTGCAGAGCTACGAGCTAGACGCCCGCCGTCTCGACCTGCCAAGACAGAGACACGGCCACGAGAAAGTGATTGGGATTATGTCGAAGAATACCCCAATCCTCGCAGCCACAGGCCGAGTGCAGCGCCAGGTGCCGAGGCTGCTCTGACTCAGCAGCGTCTGGAGGAGTATTGGAAACGGCAGCACCAGATGCTAGGGGAAGCGCAGTGGCAGACGAGCTCCTCTCCGCAACCACAGCCCCAGTCCCAGCAGCCTCGGCGGAAGCAGTACGCAGTGAGCCAAACTGCCACCGCATACATCGAACACCAGCTGAGAGCGATCAATAGAACACCGGCGGACCACGATGGCTCCGTCTTTTCGCCCACTATCCAATACGTTCCACTGGAATTGGACCCCAGACGAGGCATCTTGAGCACTCTGGCGCGCTGGATCACGCGGTAAGTGCCGAGGAGGAGGCCGACATTGCACTGACAAAAATACCGCACAGCCCAAAGCGATCGGCGACGATATCGTCATTCGACTGGAGAGAGGCTGGCCAGAGAATAACGCCAACATCGACATCCAGAAACGAACTCCGCGAAAGCTCCAGAAGCGCAGGACCAACGAATCGACGACGTCTGCGCCGGCCGCACCTGGAACCGTCCCAAGTCCAGAAGGTGGACGAGAACGAGAACGAGAACGAGAACGAGAGCTCCGAAGAAGAGTTTCCGATGCGAGGCCGGCAGCCGATCAAACAACAGCACAAGAGACCCGTACAGAGGTCCCTGCCTCCCGCCTCACGGAAACGGAGGCAAGCCCCAATCGGTCACGGCCGGCCGCTGAACGGATGAGCGTCAAAGCTGATGCGCCTGTGGATACTCCAAGTGCAAAATCACATTTGCAAGAGAATCCCAGCCATGGCAAGGACCCCAAGAAAGAGAAGGTGGCCAGTCGTCGCGCCAGGCAGATGCCCCGGCCTCCCCCCCGTTCCAAGTTTCCAATGCACTCCTCACGGTTTTATGAGGGTTTCAGTTCACGCGCAACATCAATTGCTGTTTGATGATTACGATTTTAATGTTACATTATCTATGCCCACCCGGACAGTCTAGCATAGAACTCAATTGGACTTTAATGACGCTTGCTTCCACGTGACCGCGTTACTGCTTGAACAATGTCCTACTCCAGCAATCGGGAGGTTTCTGAATTACAGGTTCTATTCTGTGTCTCCAGAATTTCATGTCTCCTCATATCATTCAATAGAACTACGACATCATGGAGGTCATCTGCGAAGGCTACCAATCCACCGTACATCTCGTCAACTGCAACCGAGGGCGACTGAGGAATCGACAGCTCGCGTTGAAGAAGGCACGTAATACTATATACCCTTACGGCCACGAATCTAAACCGGATTATCCAGGTCTCCAATGATGCAAAAGAACATACCCTTTCCGCTGCATCGGCACAACTCCACCTCTCACTCTATCATCCCAGTCTCGTGTCGCTCTTCTCGACCTTCTCCACTCCCGACGCGTTATTTTTCGTGCTCGAACTATGCGCTGCAGGCAGTCTTGAGAAGTACCTGCAGCGAGGGCCGCTTGCGGAAGATGAGTTGCGCGGGGTGGTGAAAAGCCTGGCCGATGGGTTGGTGTATCTCCACAAACAAGGCATCGTGCACCGGAACATAAGCCCCTCGAAGATCCTGCTGACTTCGGAAGGTCGTGTGGTACGTGCTCGCCTTGAAAGTCTGGTCTCCATGCTTGAGCTGTCCAGAAACTGTCTGGGCTCCAATTCGCGTGTCGGTCGCCCCCAGATGAAGATAATCAAAATATGCGCATCAAAATCCCGTACTTCACTGCACCGTACGGCTCCGTTTGCCTGCCTTCTCTTCGACTGATGGTTCATCACAGAGAAATCTTATCAAACATGCCCCACTCCTGCGAAGTAGATGTTTGGTCTTTGGGTTGTGTTATATTGACTTGCATGACATGCCAACCGCCATTTAAAGTCGGTCTACGCTGTCTCGAAATCAAAGTCGAACTGAGACGTCCCAGGGCATATCATATGCCTCTAGCGTTGATCTGATTCTCCAAGGTTCTTACGATCTTCCAAGGACTGCTTCCCCTGTGATTCGTGATTTGTTGAACGAGACACTTCAAACTGTTGTCTTTCCGCAATCTTGATTTGACGCACCCGCACTGACACTGTTTCAGAACCCAAGACGACGGTTTCACATCTCTGATTTGATACTCCACTCGTTTCTGGACATAGAACTTCCCGTCAAGCTCTTGCGGTTCTTGGCAACTGCAAATAGTCTCATCAGCAAACACGCTTTATTTGAAACGAGCGCTGCGAACAAGCCCCCTGCTATCTCTGTCGGTAAACAACAATCTCTTCAACCACGTCACTTCTCTGGACCAAGCAAGCTGTCGGATGGAGCCAAGTTTCTCTACACGGGTGCCGGCATATCTAGAAGAATCGTTTCTGATCCGCATCCGACGATATCTCGGGGACAGCAAAAGTACCCCGCTTGGCTTTCTGCAAAGGCGCCGCTGAAGGAAAGCAATCAACCTCAAGTGGAAGTGAAGAGAAGTCTCGCTGAGGTCTTTGCTCGTCTGAATCTTGCTTGCTTTGCCGATTAACTCGAGCAGACTGGTGATAGTCTACCTGTTGGGACGACACGGCCAAAGCCGTTCACGACCGCTCTGATGTCGACGGAGTCGCACAAGACTGTTCAAGGAACTCTGACTGTACTCGCTTCGCGCTCGCTACTGGTTGATTTACGTGTCGGAGAGAGGCGGCGGGGACAAAAAGGCGTTGAGGTCATGCTTGTCGATCCGAGCGGGACACGGGTGTGTGCTTTTTTCAACCTCTGTTGCTCAATGCAACCAGTAGACTTGCTTCGTGGCAGATCGAGATCTACGCGGCACCGCACCTGAGTGCTCCGTGCTGTCTAGCCGAACCGAGCAGGAAGCACACGCTGGAAACGCTCCCGACGTGCTACTGGAAGACATACAACGACGCTGCGATCCTGGTACAGCGCATCAAACAGCGGACGTCCCGGGTGGATATGGTTCGCTCAGCTCACTTGCTACATTCGTTCAAGTTGTTGTTCAGCTGACCTTGCACACTGACGCTGCCAAATGCGTTCTGATGGCCAACGATCCTCAAGCAGACATCGAACTCTTGCTCCCGGCCACAGGGCCGCCGAAGCTGCGCATGCGAGTCTCCAGACAAGACGCGTCGGCTGAGATCGCGACGCATCGCATCTCGGAAGATGGCGGTGAAGAATGGACCAAGAAAGTGCTCAAGATCCCCGACATCAATGGTGCTCCGTGTATTCTACCGGCGGAATGTGAAGCTCTAGGCGCAAACGAGCAAGCCGCTGTCGACGAACTGGAACGCTTCTTGAGTCTGTGCCGCTTTCTGGAGAGCCCCGCAGCTCCACCCCCGAATTCAAGTTGCACCGCCTCTAGTTTTCCGCAAATCCACATCAGCCCGCGTCCGCCGAAATTCGCGACCTCTGTCGAATGCGATCTGGCTAGCGTAGAGGGGATCCATTCGTCTGTCACGTGGTGCGAGGAGGCAAGCAGTGAGACCAGATTTCGTGCAGGAGTGGGCTGGTGTTTGCGCCAGAAATCCAAGTACAAAATCATGTTCTTCGATGGAGCGGTGCTGGAAGTGGACGTTGACCAGGAATGCGCCAAGTTGACCGTTGGTGGTCAGACGACGAAGTAGGTGTCATTTCAAAGCTACGATAATTCTGCACAAACAAGAATTTACAGACACACTCTCCGCCGACTGGGTCCCATCGCTGACAGAATAAAAGTGTTTGCAGACTTTGTTGACATGTACGATAATAGTGCAGATCAAGTTGGGTATGTATAGAAAGAGGATGTGGACCAAGATAGAGAGTATAGCTAGCTAAACAATTGACAAAGGGTATCACTGTCCCCTGGCGGTGATGTTACAGGTCCCGCCAGAGCCAGCCTGAGCGGGCTCTCACAGACTTAACGGCTCAAGCGGGCACCCGGGCCGGCACGGATCATTCCGGTCGAGCCACTCGACGTGCTGGCTGCATCTGAGCCATCGGCTTGTTTGTACAGCACACGCATGCCGCTCGAGTGCAGCGAGTCGACCACTTCGACACCGGCCGTCGAGTTCGACAATCGCGAAGACGCAGCAGCGGCAGCGGCTTTCTTGGCAGCATAGGCGCGCAGCATTTCATCCGGAGAGCCAGTGGCGGCGGCGGTGGACATCGGCATAGCAAATGGCGAGGACGGAGCAGGCGACGGAGACGGGCCTGGCAATCCAAATTGTGTCAGATTCGACCATCAGAGCAACATGATCAACGCACCATTGAAGCCGCTGGCAGGAGCAGGCGTTCCAGGATAAGCAAAGACCGTCTCCGGCGCAAAGAGATATTCTCCAGCCTCATCTTCCCCGTTTTCGCCCGTGCGCATCACTGAAGCAGATTAGACAAACGGAAGAATGGGCCAAGGAGACTCACTGCTAAGAGCACCAAACACCTCTTCGACGCTCTGGCGCCATTGGCCTTGCTCAGCATTGCGCAGAGTCATACGACGGCGGATATCATCGGGGGTAAGAGTAAGTGGGCCGGCAGTCTGTCTGGGACTGGTCGTCATGTCCGGAGAGGAAAATTCGCCGTAAGTGGTCGATCCATAGGCACTGTCAGCAGTAGGCTCGACAACGAACCCGCTTTGAGGAGTCGGGGTCGCGGGACTGAAGTAGCTGTTCTGCTCGTCACCATACGCTTGTTCATACGAGTTGAGGCCGAGGGTGCTCGGATAGTTCACATTGTGCACTCGGCCGGTCGGAGAAACCTGTCCATCAAATACGGGTGCGGGAACACGTTCGCCGCTGGTCCAAGCACCAGGGTTGCTGAAGACAGTGTTGGCAGGCAGAGCAGGCGTAGGATCATCGTGAGAAGAGTTGGAGTAAAAGCCAGTCGTGCGGTTCGCGCTGTAATTGCTCCCCCGCAGCGAGTTCCCGGTGCGACGACCAGAGCCAACGCTACGAGAGCTGTCCACACTGGGCCGAGGAGCAGGAGAACCATATACACCAGCCATTGACGGAGACGGGGGTGTCGGCAAAGCCGGAACCGGGGGCGCCATTCCGTCACCTTCATTCTCCCAGTCCGCGTAGGTTGACGCCGTGTGGAAAGCACGCGAAGTGCGCGAGTAGGCCGAGGTCCGAGGTCCGTTGGATGAGATAGAAGGACGCGGCGGCGCCGTTTCCGCAAAGGAAACGGCCCGCGAGCCTCGATCGGGGGGAGCACCACTTGTCTTCGGGCGACGGGCTCCAACACCAACACCGATCCCACTTCCCAGCGAAGTCCGAGGGGTGTCCTTCTCGTCGATGTCAATGCTTCCTCGGCCCACAGGCTGCTCGCCCATGAACACGGGTTCGCCTTCGACGTTGCTCGGCCGAACGGATCCGACACTGAACGCAGACGAGTTGCGGCCAATTGCGATAGAATGCCGGACAGCCTCTTTGGCGCCCCCCGCAGTAATGCTCTTCCAGTCCGTCGAGATGGTGGACATCCGTTTGTCGATCTTCTCCGACCACTCGGCCCGCTTGGCCTTACCGCGAGCACGAGACAGCTTCAGATACGTCGCACCAATGAGCATGCAGAACAGAAGCGGCAAGATGACCGCGGCCGCCTTCTTGCCGGGAGAGAGGGTGTGAGAGCTAACACCAGAGACGGCGCCGGCGACGGCGCCAACAATGGTTGTGGGCGATCCATGCACCGCGGTGTTGGCGGCGTCAGGGGTCGTGCCGTTCGAGGAGGGAGTGTACGTCGCTTGGATGACAGGGCCGGAAGGCAAGGTGCTCAGGAAAGGAGGTGTGCCTGAGGATACGATCATGAGCTGCAAAGTGGCGCTCGAGGTCGAGTTCCACCAGCGAGGCATGAGAGTCGCAGAATAGTTGCCGGAAGCGTAAGACACGCCCTGCCACATGTGCATGCGGGAGGTTGCAGATCCTGGGGCATAGAGGTAGATGTCCACAGAGGAGGGAGCCGGCTGCAAGCAATCTAATCCAGTGTTCCAGACGATGTTGAGGGGAGACATAGCGTCCACGGTAGCTCCTAGAGTGGGAGACGTGTAGAACGCGCCGGTCGCACAACCTGGAAGTATTGATACTGATGGTCAGCAGCGGACATAAGCAGGACGCACTGGGATCAGGAGTAGTGCTGTCCCGCTTGACCTTGGGAGTGAGCGGCTTCGCCGGGTGGTAGGGAGCACCAGGACGGCCGATGTGGATGTGTTCGAGGCCCATAGTGGAGTTATGTACGAAGTGGGTGTTGGGAAGATGAACAGCCCCAAGTGAGTGCGCAGACTGGGACTATTCTGCAAATTAAAGTTGCTGAATAAGATGTCTTTTCGGCTGCTGCTGCTTCGAAGGGAAAGAACGTGGGCGTCGGGCTCGACGAACGGACGGCGACGAGAGGGAGAGGAAAAGCCGATAGAGGTCACGACGTTGTCACAGTAAAACAACAGACAATACGACTGATACGTTGATACAACGTTGATACCGTAGCTACGGTGTCAGTGGTCATGCGACCGCATGCGACACACAAAGCGACGGTTTCTCGGTTCGGACATCTTTCCGAGTGTGCAACTTGCCTCACAGTTGCGACAGACGCAATCCAGGGTGGTTCTAGACGCGCCCTCCCGTGACTCATGCACTTCTCCAACTCGCCTCGCTGGATATTCGAAGAGCCTGGGGACGCCGCTCACCTCGGAGGCTCTGAGACTATCCCTTTTATGTAAAAATTTGGTTATGCCCTACAGTGCATATCCAACGTGAAGGCCACCGGGACCATTGGCGCGCAAATGCTAATAGTTAAACGCATACGGCGCCGGGGAGTACCGGGCTTAGCACTGTCACGCTCAGCGGCCCCAATAGGACCCGGAAACCCAGTCGGGGTGCTCTTCTCCAGGTTCAAAATCTGCTCGGTCGAAAGACGTGCAGAATTCCGAGAGCAGTGATAGGGACTGGACCCGGACACTGTTACAAATGAGCGATTGTTTGTAGCACGATCGAAAACAGCATTCCTTACAATCGAATTCACCAAAGAGGGCTCGCTGGCGGAAGCTATGCGGGTCAGAACCAGGGAAAAAGGGTCTGACATTTCGGCCAGAAAGGCAGCCAAGATATGCGCCGTTCAGAGGAGTGTTAGCTGATTGAGAACAAGGGTTGATACGGTTTTCCACCACCAGCGGGAACCAATGCGTGAACGGACAGCAGTGATCGGAAACCAATCTTGTATGTGATTCGTGCTTCAGCGCGAGAGCAGGTGATGGCGCATTGGCCGGCGCAAAGCAAGTTGCGAGACTGTTGATAGTGAGAAGTTGCTAGCTCAAGTGTAGAGTGAGGGAACACAGAAAAGCCATAAAACTCGCTTTCGGCCCGACAGATCCGCAACGTTCAGGTCGACAAGTCGGGCTGCCCACCGTGAACAGGGTGAATGCAGTTGGTACAGAACCTCCTTGCGGAGCGAATACACATCATATCGACCACTTATCTACCGCAGCGCGAACAAGCATGCTGATTTCTTCCCTCGCATTCTTCTTCGCGCTGTCGCTGATTCCAGGCAGTGCATCGATAGCCCCAGGAGACGTTTGTAGCGCATCAAACTCCAGCAGGTGTCCATCCGTGGTCGAAAGCATGATGGGAAGAGTGGAGACCGAGCGGCTGTGTTTCAGTCGAGGCGTCGTTGGATCCAGGGGTTGAGATGCCTGCGATGCCATTGGGGGGAAACGGAACTCCTGCAGTCTGGCTTGTGCTTGATGAGGATTTGGGCGTGCAGGATGCGCGGTAGGATATAACGTGGAGCCGCCCTCCTGAGACGACGAGGTCGAGCTGTACATCGACACCGTCCTCGAGTGCGATGTTCCCGAGCTGCCGGCGAAGGACGGGTCTCGTTGCACGCTAATAATACTCCTGCTGCGTTTATGCGTCTCATTCGTCTCATCGCCAGAGAGGTCGAACGGATTGGCGATGGGGGAACCGTTTACACTCAGCATGCTTTCGTGCTTGCGCGGAAGACGCGCCGTGCCACTAGGGTAGGCTGTCGTCTTGGGAATGGCTGGGTTGAACGAGGAGACGGATGGAACACGTGTGCGCGAGTTGTTCGACTGGGTTGCCGGCACATGCGTCTGTTTGAGCTTCGATGGAGAACGGGGGGCGTTCTGTCCGCCAGAGGTGAACGGTGCCCTTGCTTTCTGAGGGCTAGGAACGGGGGAACCAAATGCGCGCATCTGATATGCCATCGATAGGTGCTAGTTGAGAAGTTGAAGAGTGAGCGCACCATTCCAGAGGGTTTAGACCCCGCCGCTGCTTGCATGCGAGCACGCTGAGCAGCTCCCACCCCAGTGGAAGGCCCCGCCTTCTTGTCCGGAGATGCAAGACGCGCTAGATAAGTGTAAGAGTCAATGAATCTAGCAACGGAATGGAACGCGCCATTCTTCACGACTTTCTCAGCTGAAGCTTCGTCTTGGCCTTGACTCTCCACCCATTTCCTCTTCCGCGTAGATTTATCGATTTCGGTGGCCACCGTAGAGAGTTTCTCCCGCTGAGCTCCGCGGAGTGCGGCCTGGATATTTCCATGGTACTTGTTCCCAAACTCTCGCATCTTCATGCCTCGGACCTGCTTCGGAATACGCGACACTAGCCCCTCCTGGTGGATGGTAAAGTTTTCGAGATGATCGCGGAGCCAATCCTTCAGCTGCTGTCTTCTGTAGGTGACCTCGATATCGAGATTCTTGAGGAGATGTTCCTTCTCGCCTGCATTGAACATGATGGTCTGTGTCAATGAGATGGATCTGGAGCACCCGCGTTAAACGACATCACGTGGAGAGCACGCGCGTGACACGCGATGCTATGTCAAATCTGTATGGGGAAAAGCTCCGGAATGGGACGACACCTTTTTCTGGTCCCGTCCATTCTCACCACACGCACCATCTCCAATCCCCTCTCTTCTTTTCTCCGACATCTTCCTTTCAAACAGTTGCGATGCCAGATATCTATATGGTCATAGGCGGGAGCGGATTTCTGGGAAGACATATTGTGCAACAGCTAAGAGACAGAGGGGACACGGTGTCCGCTCTTGATCTTGTCCAACGCTATCACGACGTCCCCTTTTACTCTGCAGACATCACAAATCAGGCCCAGGTCGCGGCTGCTCTGAAGACTTCCGGCACGACATGCATCATCCACACTGCCTCGCCGCCAGTCGCAATGAAAGTCGAGGATGCCGATCTGTACTTTCGAGTGAATGTCGGTGGAACGAAGGCCATCATTGCTGCCGCTGTCGAGACGGGCGTTCGGAAACTGGTGTTCACTAGCTCTGCCGGCGTCGTTTATAGCGGGCAAGACATTATCGACATGGATGAGCGTGTAACATATCCCGAGAAACACAAGGATGCCTACTCCCAGTCCAAGGCAGAGGCAGAGCAGGCTGTCCTTGAGGCGAACGGAAAAGGAGGTCTGCTGACAGTGGCTCTTCGGCCAGCAGGAATCTTCGGGTGCGTTCTCTTGCAGCGTTCACTTGCTGGGTGAGGAACTCAAGTTTGTGCAGTCCAGGGGATCGTCAAGTCATGGCTGGCATTTTCATGGTGTACGAGAAGCGCCAGACTCACTTCCAAGTCGGGGACAACACCAACCTGTTCGACTGGACCTACGTCGGAAACGTGGCCTCCGCCCACCTCCTTGCCGCCGATCGACTGTCTGATCCGCCACCTGCACCGACGCTATCTGAGCTCCCTACCATGCCACGGATACCCGAGGAAGTACCCCCGTTGACGGAGGAGGAACAGAACCTGGTCAAATATGCCCTCCCTTCGATCAGTGGGACCACTGGAAAGTATCGGGTGCCTACTTCCGATGCACGACCTCTGGGCCCTGGCGTGTACCGACCTCCGAATGCCGACGCTCTCGTTGCTGCATTTGAGGCAGAAACAGACGCCAAGGTGCCTGCCGTGCGAACACGATTCGACCCTCTTTCCGAGTACACCATCGCGCGAACGAAGCTGATGCACCCGGAGACGTCACCGCTGCAGGTTGCCGGCCAGGCCTTCTTCATCACCAATGGCGAGCCGTGTCATTTCTGGGACTTTTTGCGGTACATCTGGCACCACCTGGATCAGGAGTATCCGGAGATTGCCAAGTCGCGTAAGAAGGGCACGTGGACCTTGCCGCGAGAATTTGCGATGGTTGCTGCCGGCGGCGCAGAGTGGTGGGCCTGGTTGACAGGGCGTGATGCGACCTTCAACAAGTTCCGGGTGTCGTACAGCTGCGCCAATCGCTGGTACAACATCGAAAAGGCGCGTAGAGTACTGGGTTACGAGCCCAAGGTCAGCCTTGACGAAGGCGTGAAACTGATGCTCGAGGTGCGATATCTGATTCCACCAATGGTATTTGTACTGAATCGTATTCGCAGTGGTGGAAAAAAGAACACAGTCAAAAGCATTAGCAGTATACCCCGGATAATTAGCTCTACAATATTCTAAGTATCAAGCACTTGGATTTCTGCTGCCCGAAAAACATGACCATCACGGTCTCGATATTTGACGAAGAGTGGGTTCTTGGTGAGCGTGCTCTTGGTGCGCTCCGAGGGCAGGTTCTTGGTGGCGAGCGTGAGGTAGCTAGTGAGACTGACAGCCCCGATGGCAAAGCCAGTCCCTTGAGACAGCGAAAAGTTCCCGGATGTCACATAACCGATGATTTCGGAGGGTAGTTCTCCTTCATCGCTGGGAATGGCGTAGATCAAAGCCAGATCCTGCGGATTCCCCTCTTTGATGGGATTGATTTTGACGCGCAACAACGCACTCGATGCTAGTAACGTTGATGATTGCTGCAATGGGGCAAAATGCCGTTTGGTTCGTAAAGCATTGAGCTCAGCACTGAAAACACCGGGGTCTGCAATGAGCTTGTCGAGCAGCGCCCGCACACCCGATCCACGGAGAAGCCAAGGCTCCCAAGTCTCCTCGCCTGGCTCGCGCTGAGTGGAAACTAGATCCGGGTCTGCACCCAAAACGACCTCCCAGTCAGCACGCCAGGGACTACGCGTTCCCAGTTTTTCGAAGTTCGGGCGTTTAGCAGGTGGCGTCCTCTCCCACCTTGCGCGCTCGGTTGATTCACGCTCGGTCACATGCGCCGTGTAACTAAGGCACGTGGGATAGTCACGCGGAAAATAGGCAGATCCTGCCTCGAACGCTTGGGCAGCGCGCTCGCGTTGGCCGGCGACACGTGTTCCGGTGAACGTGAGAGACGAGAAGAAAGGCATGCCCCAGCCGGCTGGCAGGAATAGCGTCCATCCATGAAGACCTCGGTCGCTCGTCCCACTGCACTCTGTTGACCGCTGAACCAGGAGAACCGGCACCCGGTCATCCTGGCGCAGAGCGGACAAGGGCGTCCCAGGAATCAAGTTCTTCGATCTTCGCTCGTCGATGTCTTGCTTCTTGTACCGCGGTTTCCGAAGCCCGTTGCGACGCGCTTCGTCCCACAGCTCACTCTGGGCGAGCGTGGCAGAGGGAATGATTCTCGGCGACACAGTCATTGTCTGCGGCTTTGCGTTGCTGGGTGGGAATCTACAACAAGTGTCGGGGAGATAGCACTTGGCGGGATTGAAGCACGCTTACTTCAGCCGTGGGTCGATGACTGTAAAGCCGATGACCATACCGCGAGGGATGGATCCAGAGGTCTGGAGATCCGCCAATGTGGCCCAGAACTAGGCTGCGGGTTAGCTTTCAGTTGACGAGGTTGTCATTAAACAAGCCTTCTTGAACTCTTCTCTCGAATCTTGGGATATCGGTGTCAAAGCGCCCTTCAATATCTGATTTGCTTTAGGACCCATAATCTCGAATGCATTCAGTTGACCCTTCAGATCTTCCAACTCAACACCGAGTGATCAAGCTGGGTTCCCGGTTCCGCCAACTTCCGCTTTTGGTCCAAAACAAGGGACGCGGAAGTACGCAGAGCTTCGAACACCCGGTCTGAGATGGACGGGTGAGCCCGCACCCAGACCATCCGCTTCACGCTATCGCTGTCACTGCCAACAGGCCTCCACAGAAGCGAGATGGGTCCAATGAGACCGAAAGGGTAGCGGCCGGGTTCGTATAGGTGCGTGTCGATTGACCGTGCCCCGGGAAGATATCTAGAAATTTGTCATTCGTGTGTAGGTACATACATAGATCAGGTGACGAACCGTTTCGCGCCTGGCCCTGCCCCCTGCAAGTCAGAAACACCGTCCAAAATGTCGCGAAGGATGTTTTCAGGGCCTTGAAGCTGGACAATCGACTGGTAGGAGGCGTCGTGGAGGATGGATCCATGAACAGCAGCCCTGTGAGATGGCCGAAATGCCTTCTCAGTCGGAGTAATTGCCTGTCAGAGCCTTAGCAAAGGCCAACTCATGCATATCTCCCTAACAAGGCGGTAACCCCAGTGATCCTCCATGTGCATCCGCTTTGAGTGCCATATGTGGGTTTCTAGCCAAGATTTGTTTCCTGCCGATAGATTAGCAACCCGCCTTGAGCAGGCGGAAGGCAGTACTTTGCCGTTTCAGAAAAGACTCCGTGCGACCGAGCCTTTTATTTTTACCCTGTTTCTTCACTAGTCGTGCAGGTAACTTCTTCTTGATTGCATTCATCTAGAGCAGACTAAGAACTTCGTGCGATCGCGAGAAGGAGCGAAGTACCTCCTGCTTCGCGCGATCTCTCAAACGCAGCGGAACGCGTCGCACATCATGGCTAGCCGCTCTGCGGCGGAGGTGCCGCGGAAGGGACTGCCAAACGCGTTGCGTGGAGCTGGCGCTGTGCCCCAAAGTTCAAGATGCATGCCGCACACGAGATTAGATTCGTTATTGACCTGGCTGATTTCATGGCTGCATGCATGGCATTGATTTCAAAACGCCGAGTTTCGCTGAATCTCTCGACATCGATAGCACCCCGTAACCTCTGACCTGACAATCGTCCATTCGCATGACACATGTCGGCCAGTCGAGCTCACCACTTCCGACAGTCAATCCAGGCCCTGAGCTTTGAATACCAATCGTGCGAGCCTCTTGGAGCTTCTGCTTCTTCTTTTCCCGTCCAGTTTGTTCTCCAGTCGTGGACTCTTTGCGCTTAAGATTTCCTGACATGGTCGCGGTGATGGATCAAAGGATTCGACAGTCACGTGTACGTGCCCTCGATCACTGCCATCAATGTCTTCCTCACTGCGCTCATCGACGTTGCGGAGCTGTCTGCGACGGTCACCCGCTTTCGCCTCTCAAAAGACTGGCACTCGTACTTTGACTACGTCTCGTGTGCTCAGAGAAGAGGCCGCCCCGAATGTCGGTGCGCCAATTCGTCAGAAGAAGCCCATCGGCGCCGTCCGGGGCAGCATCGTCGGGTTCTTGGCCGGTTTCTCTCTAGCGGCATCTCTTGCAGCATATAACCTGCTGGACGAGTATAACATGGCCTCTGCGGCTCTCCAGGCGAGCGTCGATGAGCTCAAGCTGAGCACGGAGAAGGTCTCGCCTTCTGCTGTCGGTTGGCATTTGAATTATCTAACGACAGACATAGATTACTGCTCACGTGCGCAGAATTGAAGCAGTAGAAAAGGATCTCAAGGCGCTTGCCGATACCACGGCGTCCAAAGAAAACCTGTCGAGTCTGCGAGGAGAGATGAAGAAACTTACGACGGACTGAACGTTGGTGAGCCGAAACTTGAGCTCTTCATGCGTTTCAGCAACTGTTGTTAACGCTAACGCAGAGTATCTGGGTCTGCGCGCGAATGTTTGGGGGATTCGTAAGTTGGTCGTTCTGCTGTTCTGTCTGCTTCTAACATGCTCCCGGCAGAACAAGATGTGCACGCCTTGTCTAAAAAAGATACCACTTCTGTCCGGATATGATCTGTTTGGACTGTGTGCAATTCATAGATTGTCTTCTTGCGTGCGATCTGTCGTTCATCATTGCACGGCTGCTGCCATCAACTCCGGCGTCTGAGCTAAATGCTCCCAGACGGATTCTCAAGATCTTTGTTGGTCTAATAACAGGCAACGGCAGTTCCCTGGTCCGGGCCCAATGGACTGTTCTCTACTCTCTGGCGCGTTCATCAGAGGACTGGTGATCGTGTGTACGAGATGTCTTCGTGTATGCCTGCTTTGCTCCCGGTTGCAGCACCGGCGAAATTCTCATCCACGTTGCATGGGTGCTGATGTATGCATCTTCCCCGAACGTGAATCCTGTCAGAACGGCAATCACTTATGAGGCGGTTTTTGCCAGAGACTGATGTGCTTTTCTTGGATATATCTATCAATCATGTCGTTGACTGCCAGTCGCAAGCAAGCCCGTGGGGTTACCAATGCCACGCCGCAACGACCAAGACCGATCGCAGTACTTTCAACACCTGCTGCGGTCGTCGTCCTTGGCACACGATTCTGCAGCTGACCAACTTCATTTCATGTCGAAGGAAGTCCCGACTCGTTGCGTTTTGTATCACCTTTCGCTCCCGGATCCCGCGCATCTCACCCGGCATCGTACGGGCTTCACCGAGATCTCTCTCGTAAAATGAAACATGATGGTCTGGGATATTTACGGTTTTTCCGACTGACCTCCGCGCCAGCGGTGATACCGGCCACTGATCCTCCATCGTCACTCCATGATCGTCTCATTTGCATGTTGGAAACAAAACACACCGTCGCTATTAGGGCGTATTTGCAAGGCTTCTCAAATTTCTGCTATCACAGATCAAATTTAACCGAGAATTGGAAGATGTGACTTTTGATGTGACTCCTGCTTTCGCGCGCGCCCAGCTTTGTGCGCCAGTGTGCTCACTGGCTTTCATGCCCTCGCAGAGGCTTGCGGAGTACTCGTATCACCTAGCTAAACCCAATAGAACAAAATGGCGCCTATTCTGACCTGCAACAAGACGCAGACTGCAGAATGATTGGCTGTGAAAGCAAAAGGGTTGGGCGGTTTTGAGCAGGAAGCATACTCGGGGGGGGGGGGGGGAGGACCATATCGCACATAAACAACGCACTTTGCATCTCATAGATAGCTAATAATGGCTGTGGCAACAACTCCTATAAGCTCTTCCCCCGCCCCCCCCGTCCCGACACACGATGCTCGGGTGGCTCCTTGAGCGACTCTTTCCCCTTTTGCGTGTCACACCCAATTTCTGCTATCAGACTCATATTTAAGATCAAAAGGCGGAAATCTTCGCTTTGGCGGGGAGCAAATACGCCCTATTAGGGAGATGATCAACCTGGCAGAACCTGGCAGAGAATCAAAGATGCAAATTAAATTGACTGCCCGACTCGCGGCCAACGTGGCAATCGCATGGGCAGACAGTGGCAGAACTCAAATGGGTTTATGGAAATTAGCCTCCGAGAGTCAAGGCAACCCATTTGTGAAACGTCTATCTGTGTAGAGGAGACCTCGGACGATATGTTTCTACTGACTCACGACCGGCACGTGTCCCTGAATGAGTATGAGTAAATGCAGCCGTCGAGGTGAAATTAGGACGGCGTGGATGATTGCCCTCAATTTTAGGCGGAAAGTACTCGGGCGTGTGAGGGCGCGCGCGCATTCACCAAGGCTTGAGACAGTACGTACGTGCGATAACAAGTGAGCGACATGAGGACAACAAGCAATGGCAGAATCCATGTGCCGCATCTGATCTCAATTTCTGCCCAAGCGACCCGCGTTGACCGAATCAACGCGTCAGCCCTTTCAACCTGGACATGGACGTCGGAATTAGTGAGCTCGCACAAATGACAGATCGCCGTCGAGAGGCGTGACAAGATAAGCATAAGCTGCGATTCTCTTGCGGCCAGGCTGGCCAGCTCATCGTGGTCCTCATCATCTCCC